TCATGTCCCTTGAGAGACACATACTCTTGGTTTATGAAATTTCATGCGATTGTTATAGGAAATACAAAGTATGTGTGGTTGTGTAGCGTTACCTATAGTTCCACGATAAGTCAACTATAGACTCGATATCTGTGTATTTAGAAAATGAATAAAAAGTGTTTAAAAGTGACTTTGAATATAGTGATCTTGATGGATGAATTGAATATACCACAAAAAAACTAATTGAGAAAATAAAATTTTCCTTTATGTTGGTCTACCTATAGCACATTCGATAATTTTTAGGGGGAAACCTTTTACTCTAACTATTGGTATAATTATAGTGTAACTAAGTATAACTAGGGTGTAAATTTATTTTAGATATCAAAACTTGAACTAGCTCAGTGGTAGATAGGTTGCACAAATGAGTAAGAGGGTGTGGGTTTGAGTATTGAGTCCTTGCAACTATCCATTTATGTTTGTGTGTAAGAACCTCATTTATGGATGGAGCACATATATATAGCAAAACCTGCATGGAGTGGAAACCTGTGTGCCGAGACAGAGCGGCGAAAACCGCTGATATTGAAAAACCACTTAATATCAGTGGTTTTCTCCCCTCTGCCTTGGTATACAAGTTTCCACACCATGCAGGTTTTATTATTTGTGTGCTTCTTCTATAAATGAAATTATTGGATGCGTGTATAAATGCAAAGTTTTTTTTATATGTTTCCATGGTATATATGCCTATTATATTAAATGTGCAAGGAGATAGATACCTAACCGCTAAATTACTTAAAAATATATATATTTATGAACAAATACCAGTGGTTTTCGCCCCTCTGCCTCAGCACATTGGTTCCTATTCCGAACAAGAATTATTGAAATGTTTTCGTTGCTCTCCCTCACACACAGGTTTTTGTATATGCCCCATAAATGAAGTTCATACATGCATAAAATGAAAGGTTTCCGTTCTAGACACACACTTTGTATTTTAATTGATATATGACAATTATTAATAAATATTTTAATGTACTAAAGGTCGGAGGAAAGCTAGCATACGTATATATATACTAAAATATGCACAGTTGACAAAAGGGTGCATCGAGAAGTATTGTGATCAGATTCGAGGTGCAGCACTATATGATTTTTTTTTCTTTAGATGCCTTTCCACAAGGTTCCAAGATTTCCTCTATTAATATCAATTTACATGATACACATATATAAATGCCACAAATAGATGTGTTGATGTGATTTCTATAATGCTTTAAAAGTCTCTATCCCCTACATATATATCAGGAGGATGGATTCACATAGAGAGAACAAATAAATGCAGTACAGATTTTTGAATGGATTTAAAATTGTATTAAATGCATCAAAACCCAAAACTACAATAAATGTTTTATAAAAAAATCATTAAATGCGAATATCTCACATTGGAATAAATATGTGCATGTCATCTTACAATAAAAGACTAAATTATTTTGTATAAAATAATAAATCATAGAACAACAAATTATACTGATGATTAAATTTGTGAGTAAAAGACTCATGGTGGTTACGTGGACAAATCTCGGACGTATATTTTTTATTCTTCTGTAGTTTCTATTTTTTATTGTTTGGTACTTTCTAGGTTTACACTATATATATGGTTTGCGCTACGTATTTCTTCACATATATAAAGCAAAAACCTGCGTGGAATAAAAACATGTGTGATAAGGTAGAGTAGAAAAACCACTGGTATTTGTTTAGAATTGTTAATACTCTTGATACTAGTGGTTTCCATTGCTAAGTCCGCACATAGGTTTCCATTCAAGCCAGGTTTTATTATATATGATGTGCTTGGTTCATAAATGAAGTTCCTGCAAACGTGTATAAATGTAAATATTTTTTTCTTGATATGCTTTCTGTGGTATATATACCTCATATTAAATGTGTAGAGAGGATAGACACCTTACTACTTAATTATTAAAAATATATTTATGAACAAATACTAGTCATTTTCGCCACTCAGCCTCGGCACAAAAAATACGGTGGAAACTCACTTTCATGACCCTTGAGCGACACATACTCTTGATTTATGAAATTTCATGCAATTATTATGGGAAATACAAAGTTTGTATGAATGTGTAGAGTTGTGCATTCTTCTACAATAAATCAAGTATAGACTTGTCTATGTGTATTTACATAATGAAAAAAAAACATGTCTAAATGTGTCTTTGAATATAGTGTTCTTTGTGAATGGATTGAATGTACTACATAAAACGTATTGAGAAAAATATTTTCATTTATGTCGAGTCTACCTATAGCACAATCAATAATTTTTAGGCAAGGGAAAATTTTCACTCTAACTATATATGGTGTAATTATAGTGTAGTTATACTTTAGTTACAATAGAACTAGGGTGTAAATTTATTTTAGATATCAAAACTTGCACTAGTTCAGTGGTAAATAGGCTGCGGTGATGAGGAGGGTGCGGGTTCGAGTCCTTGCAACAACCCATTTATGTTTCAATGTAATTAAGAACCTCGTTTATGGACGGAGCACATATGTATATATAGCAAAACCTGCATCGATTAAAAACATGTGCTAAGCTAGAGTAGTAAAACCACTGGTATTTGTTTAGAATTATTCAAACTCTTAATATCAGTGGTTTCCGCAGCTCTTTCTTGGTACACATGTTTCCATTCTAGTCAGGTTTTATTATATGTGTCCAGGTCTATAAATGAAGTTATTGGATGCATGTATAAATGCAAATATACATTCTTAATATGTTTTCTATGGTATGTATGTCTACTATTAAATGTGTGAGGAGATAGACACCTAACCGTTGAATTATTAAAAATATATTTGAACAAATACAAGTGGTTTTTGTTACTCTGCCACAGTACATAGGTTCCTATTCTAAACAAGTTTTGCTATATAGGTGCCATGTCCATAAATGAAGTTCTTACTGCATGCATTCATAAATGGAAAAAAAGATTGCTTTGTCAATATGTTTTGTGACGATACTTGGTCGTTGAATTATCAAAAATATATTTGTGAACAAATACTAGTGGTTTTCATTAATCTGCCTTGAACACAGGTTTCTGTTCTAAGCATATTTTTCCTATATGTTCCGTAAATGAAGTTCATACATGCATGCATAAATGAAAGGTTTCCATTGTAGGATGTATGCCAATTATTAATACATATTTTCATTGTATTTATTAATAAATACATTTTTTCATTTATTAATACTTAATCTTTTCTTTAGTATATGCCAATTATTCATAAATATTTAAAAGCACTGAGTGACGGAGGAAAGCTAGCATACATATATATATATAAACATGTACAGTTGACAAAAAGGAGTACTAGAAGTATTGTGATCAGCGGTGCAGCCTCTATATGATACTTTTCTTTAAATTCCACTCCACAAGGTTCCAAGATTTCGTGTATTAATACCAATTGACAGGATACACATATATAAATGACACAAATAGATGTGTTGATTTGATTTCTACGAGGCTTTAAAAGTCTCTATCCCTACATACATATCCAAGAGGATGGATTCACAAAGAGAGAACAAATAAATGCAATACTGATTTGTGAATGAATTTAAAATTGTATTAAATGCATCAAAACCCAAAACTATAATAAATGTTTAATAATAAAGTCACTAAATGTGAATATCTCGTATTGGAATAAAGATGTGCATGCAATCTTACAATAAACGACTAAATTATTTTGCATAAAATAATAAATCATACAACAACAAATTTATACATGTAAAATCTCTAAATGTTTCTTTGTTTAGTCATAATAAATAAAAGGAAAAAGTCCAAATACCCCCCCCCCCATAAACTTTAGATGGAAGTCCATCTAGCACCCTGAACTTTAAAACCAGACATCTAACCCCCGCTGAACTTTGCGATACCATCCATATTACCCCCTAAGGTGGTTTTGGATGATAGTTTTGTATATTTTAGAAGCTTAAACGAACAATTTTGAATAACTAATATAACATATTTGCATATCATCAGTCATAAGTTATCAATTTATCCTTATATAGTGATATCATGCTATTATTATGTTGGTACTTGCTTATAAATAAGAGCTAATAAGAAGCAAAAAGAATAACTTACGTCAAAATTTTAATATATATGTCCAAAGCGCATGACATGTGATCAAACCCATCCAACTTATATATAGCTTAGATAAAACCACTATGCAAAACCACCTCGGGGTTATATAAACAATATTGTAAAGTTTAGGGGTTGAATATCCGGTTTCAAAGTTCAGGTGCTAACTAGACGGACTTCCATCTAATGTTTAGGGGAGTTATTTGGACTTTCTTTTAAAAAAATTGCAATATCATTATCAATAAGAGGTATTTGGTGTAATTAGTGTGTGTTTAAGAGATAAAAGGAGAAGATTGAGAAGATATGAAAAAAAGGTGCGAATTAGTATAAAATTACCTTAGTATTAATTATTTTAAACTTAGAAAATAGATTAATATTATTTTTAAAGTAACTTTTCTATAAAAATTTTCTATAATACTTTTTTAAAAAAAATACATCATTTAACAGTTCTGAAAATATGAATGAGGGACTTTTCTCTCCATTGTGGTTGAAATTAACGTAGACGTAGCCTACATAACATCGCAATTACTCCATCCGTCCCAAAAAAAACTTTATTTTTTGGTTTCTGTGTCCAACGTTTAACCATCTGTCTTGTTTGAAAATTTTATGAAAAAATTAAACAATACTAGTCGCGTATAAAGTACTATTCATCTTTTATCATCTAAAAAAATATTAATCATAAAAAAAATTTAAATAAGACGAAGAGTCACGTTGTATCACAAGGGAGTATCTTCTTGGCCCATAGGCCCAATTATCTCGACGTACGAACCAAAGCATCCACTGCTCCGGCCCAAAAGGTACCAATCGTTCCACTGGGCCAAAACTACGGCCCATACATGTGGATGGGCCAAGGCTGAGGCCCATCGAGACGAGGCCCAAATAGTTCTTGTGGTACAGATCGATGCGACACTCTGACACGTTACGCTCTCTCTTCCTCTCGGGAGATCAAGAACCTGGTGGCGACCAAGAATGGCGGCGAGCTCGAGCTTGGATTTGGTGAAGACCATGGCGGCGTCCGGGTTCCTCCTCCGCTGCCCTGCGGCGCCCAGCGCTGTCCCACTCTGGGGAAGGAGCGGGAGGGGCGGCGGCGGCGGCCTCGCCTTCTCCGCTTCGTCCTCCAATGGTAGGTTCTTGGTCCGCTTCGTCCTTGCATTCGTATTCCCTTTTGCAACCAGTGGTGTGTAGTTTAGTTTAGGGTGAGGGATTGGAAACCAAGAACTGGATGCGGTCGATGCAAGGAGTAGTGAAATGTGCAGGAGTAAGGTTTTGGGACTAGTCCTGATGGGTCTATGGAAGGGTGTGCCCTTGATTTCCCATTTCAAGAACAGTGGAGTCATGGTTCATCACTTCAGCTCCAGAAAATTCAGAAAAGGGGAGTTAGATTTTGTGTTCTGCGCAATTCAGTTCAATCCTGATGGGTCTATGTAAGGGTGTCTGGGTGTGCCCTAATTTCCCATTTCAAAAACAGTGGAATCATGGTTCATCAATTCAGTTCAGAAATTTCCCATTCGTTGTGTTATGACACATCGAAGAACTGCATTTGGGTTGTGTGATTAGGGTTGTTAAGAATTAAGTATCTTGAACCTGAATACATAGCATGGGAATTAAAGGCTCACAATCATCTAGTAGTATGTAAAATGAGCTAATCGACATTTTTTTTTCTTGTCTGGGAAATTCTTTAAGTGGGAGGCTGGGGGGTTCATTTCGATGTTTGGATTAAAGCTGAATGCAGAACTGGATTGAAAATTTCATGATGTAGGTGCAGCTGTTCCATCCTCCCTAAGTGACTCAGAGAAGAAGGGCCCTGTGGTGATGGAAATTCCACTGGACAAGATTAGGAGGCCACTGATGCGGACGCGTGCCAATGATCCAGCCAAGGTGCAAGAACTCATGGACAGTATCCGTGTCATTGGCCTCCAAGTACCTGTGGGTATCTCTAGTACCTTTATGCTTTATCACTTTCCTGTCCACACAAGTACCACTTGTTTGGTTAATTCATGATCTAGCAATGAAGGATTCTGCTGAATTGAACATTTTGGTTTGTAATCAGTACAGGGTAATTTACTTATTTCTGAATTCCAGAATCATGCTTGTACCTGATCCACCTTAGTGAATAAACTGCAGTTTGCTATTAGATGAAATTAAGCCAAAAAAGAAAAAATAATATTTTTCCTAAGTCAAATGAACTTCATGTGATATTTCCTCATAAATTTGGTTTGTGCCAAATTAGATCCCAATTTGCTTACATATGGGAAACAGTAGTTGATTTGAGAATTCTTGTCTTTACCTGATATATCATTTGGGACCAGTTTTAGTTATACGAACTTGCATTCATCTCATTTTTACATGAGTATGTTCTCACACTTCCATATATTTCACATTGTATCTAGATTAATCTGAAAAGAGGGGAGATTGCAACTGTGGCATTGTAGTCAGTTGATACTTGATGCAGTGGCACCTCACGCTTTCATTAAGCTCGAGAAAAAAATACAAGATTTGGTGGGACAGGCAACCCTCCAATTCCCTTAAAAATGAACTTTTCTTGGCTTAGTTGACAGGCTTGTTATCCTCCAGATCAATCATACTGGAGTGTCTTGTTGAGAACTGGGGATCCGAATAACCTGTAGTGTACAGAACTTGGTGATCAATAACCTAAACTGCTAATATTGCGGCGTTACTTTTTAGTTATACTTATGGGTTCAATTTTTTAATATTGCAGATTGACGTACTGGAGGTTGATGGAGTCTACTATGGTAAGTAGTCCTGACATTCCCAACTTGTAAACTCTTCCCTCGCCATTTCAAACACAGAACCGTTTCCCTTTTGCTGAAAACTCTCCTGCATTATCTTCAGGTTTTTCTGGATGTCACCGCTATGAGGCTCACCAGCGCCTAGGTCTCCCGACTATCCGCTGCAAAGTCCGTCGCGGGACGAAAGAAACACTAAGGTGAGCCCATCTTCCTTTAGCTTGAACGGTCCACTATGAATTTGATAATTTGACAGCACTCAAGCTTGAATTCGTTCTTTCAGGCACCATATGCGATGAAATTGGAATGGACATACTACTTCAGTCAGAAAGTGATAATCTGTGTACCTTTGTGTTCATATGCTATACTCCTGTAATTGTAATCCTCCATACTTGTAAATGTTACTCGAACAGACTGGTCCATTACTGAATAGTACCTTTTTTAACTGTCTCAGTAAATGGAAATTTTAATCTGCTACTCCCTTGCTTACTTACTGAATAGATGGTCCTTATTCTCTACTTCATTAAAAAAGTTGCTCAGACTGTTTGCGGTTCTCTCCATAGGATAGGATGCTAGGATTAACTTCTATTCTTAGGGATTTGGAGTTCTTTGTTTAACTGCCAATTTGCCTGAATGATTTGCAGATGAGGAAGGCACTCTGCTTGATTTTTCTTTGAACCTCAACTGATCAAAACTTCAAGGGAGTAAATTGAGGTGTTATCTCCAGGTGCTTCAATGCAACTATGAAAAGTGAAAAACCGTAACCATACAGAAAACAATCTCGATGTATATATCTCGACCTGTGAGATTTGAAAATTTCGGAATCTGCATATTCCTATCAAAATAAAAAAAATGCTCTAAAAATTTCAAGAAAAAGTGCTTTGTTCACAGTTGATGCCTTTCTTTTCCCTGAATACTGAATGATATTGTAACCATTATTATAAAGTTTAAATTTGTATTTAAATAAATTTTCTACTAAATTCATATATAACAGTATTTTACGAAAACAAAACCGTTTAGAAGCTCGGGAAGGTGTTGCGTTAATCCATCGGTTATTCTATTCTCCAAAAAGAACAGGCCATCCCTTGAGGATTAGTAGGGCAGTTTCTAGTGGGCCTAGTTGGGCCGGATGCGAAATTGGGCAGAACAGTAGATTTCTCTCGTAAATAAGTCTATTTTGCGTCCCTCATTTCTTACCTGCGATCTCATTGGACCCGGCCCACTAAGTAATCATTTGTCTTCTTCTCGAAGGCAAAAACCACAGTGCGCAAGGCAGCGGCTTTAGCACGCGCGCAGACAGCAGCACACGCGAGCGGAGAGGAGACGGGGATGGCGGCGGTGGAGGAGGAAGGGAGGTGGGAGCCGACGGCGGCGGCGGCGGAGGAGGAGGAGATGGGGGTGGAGGCGGAGGAAGCGATGGAAGACGGGGAGGTCGAGGGAGAAGTTGGTCAGCAGCAGCAGGAGGAGGAGGGGAATGGAGACGCGGGAAAGAGCGAGGAGCACGGCAGCGCGGGGGGGCGTATGGTGTGGAAGAAGAAGCATCACCACCACCACCAGCCGCGGACGCCCGTGGCGGCGGAGAGCCGCGCCACCTGGAGGGGGGGCAAGGGCAGCGGGAAGGGGAGAGGAGGAGGAGGAGGAGGAGGGGGGTTTCACCACTGCCCTTGGTATGGCGCCCAGTAATAGTAGCCCTAGGCGCCATCTAATCCTAGTTCTTTCTTGATTCAGCGCGTTGTTGGATGCATCCTGTTTATAGTTTACTAGTTTATGCTTCGTAGGTGATATCGATGCTTTGCTTCAATTAGATGCTTCTTGACTTCTTGTGGTGGAGAAAAGTGGCTAGCAACTCACTATGTTTTAGTATCGGTTTTGGTTAGTGCTGCATCCAGGCAAATATATGTGGGCAACACAATGCACCACCACATTGGGTTGTGGAATCACGGGTGTCTGCCCCTAGGGGGATCAAAATTGATGGAGATTGCGCGGATTCTATAATTAGTTGGTGTCCACTTTACGATTTCTTCGTTTGTGATGCATCCATGCAAGTATATGGTGGCTTGTGGAAATTTTATCATAGATCATACAGGTCGCATTAATGTGTTTAGTTGGATCATGCAGCGAATTTGGAGACTTAGGGTCTGACAGTAGCCTGTACCCGTAGAAGAGGCTGGACACCAGGATCTAGGGAGGTTTTGGTTCCATTTTGATGATTTTTCTGTAATTAATATGAGGTGAATAGTTTCCATCTTAATTACTGGATAAATTGTAACACATCGTTCTTCATTTTTGTATTTTTCCTTTTCAGTTTGTATGCCTGCTTTCAGCTTTCTTGCAACATCTAATTTTGGAGACTGAGAAGCACTAGTATAGTAGTAGCTGTACCTGATTAATGTTTGTTGTATAATTTCTGAGGTACTTCTTAGAACCTTCTATGCTTTTTATTTTGTTAATTTGGCCACTGTTGGCTTCCGGTCCCGATCATTGTTGATTTGTTTTAAATTGCCAAGTCTAAATGTGAGTGATTTGCTCGTCGTTACTGCCATATTTTTTGGACAATAGCAACTGTAAGTGTTCTTTGAATATACCAGGTCTCCATTAGTGATGCTTTGCATTGCCTCAATATCTTCTCTTTCATTTTTAAAGGAATCTGCAACCGGACAATCTGAACAGATTTAACAAACCAGGGGTATATGGTGGTGCTATTATCATCTGCAATCACATGACTAAGAGGGGGTTCTTCGAGAAGAAACTTTTTGGGCTTCCAGGCTACGCTGCAACTTTCATAAAGAAGATCAGAGTTGGTATGCTTCTCTTTGTGTTTGAGCTTGGGGAAAGAAAACTTTATGGGGTATTTGAAGCTACCTCCAATGGAGCACTGGACATCCTTCCAAATGCATTTACTTCTTTGAGGAAGCCCCGACCAGCCCAGGTAAGTTTGCTTTAGTTATTGGCTACGCTCTCCAAGTTTCATGTCCTCATAGTCTGGGTCATGTTCTTTCCGATGTTTAATTGTTGCTTCTTGATTTCCTCTTGGTAAGTATTTCCAGTGATGTTACTAAGGACTGCTTTTACAGTTAAAATGCAGAGAAACATTGATAACGGTTATTTTATTTTTACCCTGTGGATGAAATTCAGGTTCTCTTCAGAAGAATTTGGTTCTGTAAGCCCCTCGCTGAAACTGAGTTTTCTAGTGCCATCAAGGGAAACTGTCTCTATCCCCAAATGTCCTTCTTTGGTATATCGTACCAACAGGTTTGCTATGTCAAGTTTTGAAATTTGTGATACTGACGTGATTATCTTTTAGTGTCTCTAGAACTTGCTTACTGCTAATTCAAGTTTTTTCGTAGTATAGGTTTTAAATCTGGTGCACCTGTTTGCTTCAAAGAGGATTGAACTGCAGCCATACCAGAAACCAAAATCTAGAGTTATATATGATTACAAGATCTCTCTCGCTCATCTTGGCCGAGAGTTCAGTCCTCGCACTCATAACAAGACCTTTTCTAGCCATTCGTCTTCCACGTTTTGCAATAACAGATTCTCATTGCCACGCAGTTCTTACTTGTACACCAAACAGAATGCTAAGCATGATGCTTGCAAATATGAATCTCCTTTGCACTCTCCACTTAAGTCTGTGATCTTCAAAGCACCAGATGTCAAAGGAGAAAGCTTAGAGCCAAATCCTGATTATATACCACTTGAGCTAGATGATTCTAAGTCTGACAGTGATGCAGATCCATCAGATAGTTTGGAAACTGTAAGCTTCTATCCAACACTAGAGGGCTGCATCAGCTATGAGGATCAAGATCTCAAACCTTTCAATGGAAAATTCAATGGCGATGATGGGCATCATTCACATGTGCTGATTCGAGGGCTCAATTCTGAATGTGAAACAGATCGAAACAGTGTTTTTTCTCGCAATGTGAAAGAGAGGCAATCAAGCTTGGCCAAGGGCGGCAAGGGGTGCAAACGCAAGGCAATTGTCGAGTTTGATGAGCAATCATCCCCAAGGAGAGGTTGTACCATGAAAAGGGTTTCATTCAGTTTCTCTGGTGAAGAAATTTCAGTTACTTCTGAGAAATCATTGCACAGGCCTACTGCATTTGCTGAACTACCTAACACAAGGGAATCATCTGCGGAAGAAGGAAAGCAAGAAGTCGGTTGCGTGGTTCAAAAGGCTCGGAGCAAGGGGGAAGATGTTTCAGCAAAGATCAAGCTGATGGGCCTATCCTTGCCTGAAGCACTTAGAACTAATCGTGTCCATAGCTGCTCCAGCAATAGTCAATCACTGGTGACTCAAACAGGTATCAATCTGACCTGCACACTTCTCACGGACAAGGAATGAAAGTAGTAGAAGCACAACCTTTCAGTGTTGAACTGGCAGTCTGGTAGTAAGATAAGGGTCTTTCACTGGCTAAACGGTAGTTTTTTTTTTTTTTTTTTGGCACCAATGCTCACCTTGAGAGGAATTTCTTGGAGGGAACTTCTAGGTAGTAGTAAATCCTAGAATGGCATCAGTATGCTTTCGCCTCACATTGCTAGCTGCTGTAAATATGGCATGTTTGCTGTTTTCACTTTGTAAGGAGAATCAAGCACAATATTTAACTGAGATTTTTCTGGCATTTCGTGGGCACTCTTCTGCATCTACATGGATCATGGATGTTTGCTGTTTCTTGTTTTTTTTTTTCGTTGATGTGATGTTCAGCTGTGAGCCTGTGAATGTGATCATGTCATAAAGATGACGAAACTTACAAACCTGTGTTGTTCATGAACGTATCTTCTCTAGTCTGCTGGGTTTTTTTCCTCTTAAAAGACTACCGTAGCTGTTCTGCACCAGTTTATGTTTTGATCAAAGAAAAGCCGAAGATCTTCTGAAGAAATTTCTAATCGTGATTATGTATTTACATAAAACTCAAGTAACAAAGCACCATCAAAATTGAACCTTTCACAGTGAAATTTCTGCGAAAATGACGTAGAATTCCTAATTTCAAATGGACTTCAACGAGGGATTTGAGCTTCCAATTCAGCCCTAATGCCTGGACTCTCCAGGGATCAAGTTGTGATTTCTCTTTATTTCAGGGACTTTTCTGTACTTTGTGGCTGGGCTTCAGAGCTTTGCTACACTTGTCACCTCTGTACACTCCTGGGCCCCTCAATGCAGGAGTACACTTTGCAAAAGAAAGAGATTCGCAAAAAAGTTTTTGTAATCTTCTACAGCAAAATTTCTCCAAATCACTTTTTCAAAAACCAAATTTTATGTAAAAATCACTCCTACTTTGTTGAAGTGGAAATTGGAGGAGAGAGAAAGTGGAGGCCTCTGCCATCTTCTGCTCCTCCCAGCTGCTCTGCTCCTGCTTTTTACCATCTTCAAGTCTCAACTCTCAAGTGAGAAAATAAAAAGATCAGAAGAGAGCAAAAGGAGGAGGAGAAGAAACCACCAAGAAACAAAGCCATCAAGAACTCCTCCTCCTCCCGTCGATAATCTCGCCGCCGCATTGCACGATCAGACCCGCCGCCGCCTCCATTGCCTTGTGGTATTTTTTTTTCTCGCCTCTCCTTCTCCATGGATGTGTTTCTGCTCCCATTTCTTGTTTGCTCCGTCTGCGGCCTGTGTTGTCGTTGTTGTTTGTTCATCGCTGTGGTTTCTGTTCTTGCGGTTGGATGATCGAAATCGAATCCCTTGTTCATAGTGCCGTGGATCTTTTTTGGTTTGGATGATGTCTTCTTGTTCCTAGTGCCGTGGTTCTTGCGGAGGAAAACCCCCTCAAATCGTTCTTGGTAGGAAGGGAATTTGTGTTTCGCCTTTCTTGGGCACTAAACCCTTGCAAGAACCCAAGAACAAGGGATACAGCTAATATAGTGGTGAGTTTTTTTCTTTCTTTTTTGAGGTAGCGTGATTTTTTTTCGTTTCCTTTTTTTTTTCCTTGATGATCTTGGACTCGGTAGGAACGCCACGTTTTGCACGAGATCACAGAAGCCATGTTTTTGGCAAAGCTCATCCCAGCGGATAGGTAGAGCAAAACCAACACTTGTGGGGGTGTCGATGGATTGCTCGTCTGATTCTGATGTGTAGGATGCAGATTATTTCACAAAGCCTCAATGTGTGACGAAATCATGTTCAGTTGTCCGGTTTTTTTTTTTTGGGGGGGGGGGGGGTTGAGCAATCAGCAATCTGTGCTTCACTTTGAGTTTGAGGCTTTGAGCCAAAGTACATGGATGCTGTTTTTTTTTTCCTTAGTGCCAAATAACTTTTCTAAAGCTTGTGGTTCCTGTAAACATAAATTGTCTTCTTGGTATTGGGCATGTTAGATCTCGGATGCGAAAGAAAAGGAAGTCCAATTTTGTGTGTATCAGTTGAATTCTCTTGTCCTTGCAAGTTGCAAGCGTGTATTGGTGTTTGTTTGAAGGTTTGCAAGATTTTGATCCTAGCTAATACACTATGTCAAGGGAAATCCTTTACTTTTCTTTTTTTTTTCAGTTCAGACTTCTTTTATGGTGACAAACAACTCCAGGCATCTGTTTTCAGAGAAAACAGCCCACCTCAGCGTTTAGTTATACACAAAATATACAAATGGTCCATCAAAGAAATGTAATGAAGCATTTATGCAGGATAGTGTGTGCCTTAGTCATGGAAAATGGAAATTGGTTGCATATGGAGCAGTGCTAAGCTAATAAACCCTTGCTTGTACAATCATTATCTGTGTGCACTTATGTTCTTGCTTCAGTGTGATGGCTCTTGATCCTGTTTGATAATGGTTACTCAACTGGTTGGCTGAAAAGAACTGTTGCTAAACTAGTGAGTGTTCAGTTTAATTGCGATATTATCCTTTTCACATTTTTTTTCTGAGCAATTCGTGTTTCACAGTTTGAGGTTTTGAGCCAAAGTGCATGGATGTTTCTTAGTGTCAGATAGCTTGTCTAAAACATGTGATTCCTGTAAACATAAGTTGTCTTTCTTGGTGCTGGACATGTTAGAGTTCATAAGCAAAAGAAAAGAAACTCCAATCCTGTGTATATCTGCTGATTTTTTTTGTTATTGCAAGTTGCAAGTGTGTTTGCTTGGAAGTGTGCAAGATTTTACTGGCTAGTACTTAGTTTGTGCGAATCTCGACATGTATGAGCTGTTGTTGTAGTTTTATTTCATTTCCCATGCTGACTTACTAAAAGAACAAGTTGAGTTTGTCTGCAAATCTATTGGCTTCATTGTTCATGCCATCCCTTTCTGTTTTTATCTATTATATTTGTGGTTTTTGTGTGCAATGCCTGCTGCAGCAAAGAAATCATATGCAAATGTCTCCTGACTTATTTACGTTGTCAACATTGCATGTTATCAAGGATTCCAATGAACTTTCGGATGGGCAAGGCACATAGCAAGGAGGGTTCAACTTATGATGGTGCAATTTTTCTGTGCAATCGCCTGACCAGGAGGGAGTGCTTTGAGAAAAAGCTTTTTGGTCTTTATGCTCATTGTGCTGATTTTATACAGAAAGTGAAAGTTGGTGCAACTTTATTCTTGTATGACACCGATCAGCATAAACTTCATGGGGTGTTTGAAGCAACTTCAGATGGATCAATGAACATTATTCCCGATGCATATGTCTCATCAGGAAAGCGGTATCCTTGTCAGGTACTCCCTCCATATTTTAATGTATGATGCCGTTGACTTTTTGATAAACGTTTGACCTTTCGTCTTATTCAAAAAATTTATGTAATTGTAATTTATTTTATTGTGACTTGATTTATCATTAAATGTTCTTTAAGCATGACATAAGTATTTTTATATTTGTATAAAAATTTTGAATAAGACGAATGGTCAAACGTTGGTTATAAAGTCAACGGCGTCATACATTAAAATACGGAGGGAGTACAATTTACAAATACTTCCGATGCTTACCAAGAATTGTCTTGTATTACTGTCTAGGGTACCTTAAAATTTTAATGCAATGTCTAAGATAGTCTGTTTATTTTTATATTTCACAGCTAGATAACTAATTTATTGCTTCCTATGTTTAAATGTCAATCGCAATTATGATATAGATCTTCCTGACATATTATAAGAATTGTACTAATTCTTCTCCTGTGGTATTTCACTAAATCCAGATACGTTTCAAGAGGATTTGGTTTTGCAAGCCTTTAATGGAAAGTGAACTTCATGATGCAATACAGAATAACTTTACGTCAAAAAACAAGCTTAGATATGGTTTGTCACATCAACAGGTTTGTTCCACAGTTTTCTGGTGTTCTATTGATTCACTTTTTTTTTTAGATAATGGATTTAAATAAAACCTGGCCTCTACATCCCATTCTATTGATTCACTTAGCTTCTGAATTACCTAAGAATGTTTCTCTTATGCAGGTAGTAAGGCTTCTACACTTGTTTTCTTCAAGGAACAGACTACAGCCTCGTCAAAATCAGAACTTACAGGATGAACTTCCAAAAGAATCTGAAATGTCTTCCCTGGTCAACCAAACTGATATCCAGTCCAGTTCAAACAGCAGTTCGCATGGTTCATTCAAAAGCCCCTGTCAAACATGTTCCTCCTCCACTCATGGGGAACGCGCAGCAACCTTGAGTCACAAATTAGCTGATCCTATGCCATTAATGCACAGAGGACTGAAACCATACACCTCTGGTGCAGTTAAGTCCAAGGACAGCTCAAGGTTTCCCTTGCACATTGGCGCAAATACGGACATTGTCACTGTACCCGTTAGCCAAGAAGCAATGGATGACAGGTCTAGTGATGACTATATACCACTACCACAGGAGGAAAATACTTTAGAGGGAATCGATGATCTATCTGATTTACTTGAAGATGAGAGCTACTCTTCAGAATCTCAAGGTACCATTGACTCAGAAGAGCACGGTACTTTCCACCAAGCTTGTGCTATAAAGGAAGATGAATGCTATCCACCAGTGGTAAATTTCAAGCTCCGTTCTGATAGTGAAGGACGATCAAGTGTGTTTTCTCGACTATTGGGGAAACCTAGAACTCTTGGTCCAAGAAAGAAGTCCAGTGCCAAAGCATTCCCATCAATGTCTTCCGGTCACCTTCCTCAGAGGAAAAAACAGTGGAGGAAAAAGCAGAGCAAGCCATTTCCATGTGATAGAGATGGAGTATTGGGTACACATCAAGCTAATAAGCTGAGAAGAATTCCAGCTTTGGATTATTCATTTGTCTGGGATGATGGTAGTCGATCCACCAATTCCTTTGGTAGAAAACCAAGCGATATTCAGACAAGTTTAGAGCTTTGTGAACATGGGAACAAATGGGATATGTGTACTAAAGAACATAGCAGAAGCAATGAGTTCAAAAGGCTGTTTGTTCCTGAAGCAATTAGAAAATTGATCAGGCCCTATGACAAAGAACTGAGTATACCCCCAGTGTTTCCTGGAGTTCATGATGGCAATGAAGTCAATTCCAAAGAAGAAGTAAATGATTCTTCTTTGGATTTGAAGCGGCGTGGTAAGGATGACCAGGATTTCGGTGATGAGAATGATAATGTTGAAGAAGCAACATGGAAGAAGAGGCGGCTAGCAGATGCATCCTTCTCCCAAGAGGAGTATCTGAGTGGTGGTGTGTTGGTTCCTAAAGGCACCGAAGATATGGATATGCTAGCGATATCTGATGGAAACTGTAAAGACAAGAGTATCTGTTTGTCACCTAGAGACACATGTGCTGAGATGGCTAGAGCTTGTCTTCAAACCAAGGTAGTCCTGCAAGATGAACAACAGAAGAACATTCAAGACTGCTGTGAAGAAGTTGCAGGTGTTACATCATTGATTCTTGAACATTCTGAAAGTATGGACTTATTGCCCAAGCGCAACTGTAGGAACATGAAGACTTGTCTGAATATTGAAACGAAGAGCCAGGTGGCTTCTGGTAATTTGGAAACCAGAAGTTCCCTTGAAGATACACAGAAGCAAAGTGTTAGGAGCTGCCATGGAGTGATCAACGGTGATAAAATATTGCTCATGGAAAATTTTGAAACCATGGATGTCTTACCCAATCATGATGAAGATTGTCTTGCTAAGAGTACTTTTGTTAGGAATGACAGTAATCACCTGGAAACTGAAATGCCAATGCAGGAGAAACAATCCCCAAGTGTTCAGAACTGCTGTGAAGCTCTTCATGGTGATAACATGTTGATTCAGGAAAAATCTGAGAACATGCTCTATAAGATCGATGCAGACTCAGACTGTGGAAAAAAGAAGAGTGTGTCATTTGACAAAGCTTATAGCAATGTAGCGGGTTCTTCTCTGGAGACCCATGTGCCCATGCAAGAACCCCTCCGAATAGCTTCAAGCTGCTGTGAAATAGTTAATGCTGATCAAGTGTGTGCTGGAGAAGTTGGTAAGAACAGTTTCTCTCTTGATGAAAATGGTGGCTATGTTACCTGCCCCTGTAATACTACGTGGGCTCTAGAAAATGCAATGGCCATGGACACAGTGGAGTCTATTCATGGTGATATTGGAAACAACAGTAACAATTCAGCGGCCTGTAGAAGTATGGGCTCTGATTATATGGAGGAAGTGCACCAACTTGTGACAAACTGTTCTGAGATATCTGCAGCAATTCCTGAAAGCTCTGGAACTCTTAACAACTTCGCTAAATGCTGTGGAGATAGTGCAAACAAGAATAGCTTATTGGATCAAACTTCAGAAAATGTGAGCACTGATCATCAGGAAGTCAGTATGCTCCCTCAGGACCAACATTACCACAGTTGTTCAGGTGATACTTCGTCTGCTTTGGAATATTCTGATACAAATGCAGGTGATGGAGATAGTGAGCACAGGAATTCGTTTGATCAGAAAGGCGGTGAAAGTATGTACCCAGTGACAGGAGTCCTGCTGCAAGCAGAGCAACACCAGAAACTTCAAGGTGAACCTGAATCATCATCTTCCCATGAAATCTCCAATTCAGGTTCCTTCGTCGTCTGCGCTGAAGATAGCCGAAGCAAGAGTGGGCTGTCGGCTGATAGAATGGTTACTGATCTTGAGACCAATTCGGAGTCTAGGACGGGTTTCTTCAACACTTCTTCCAGTGAGTGTGGCGAGAACTTCAGCGCCTCCGCTTCGAGCAGCGAAAACGCGCAGCAGAAGCTCAGCGGATCGGCTGTCTCTGCAGAGGTGGCCAGACTCCAACATGATCCTGGAGAATAGATGAAGTTGCGGTGAGCCGGTGACTATGCTGCATTGTGCATTCGCTACACAACGCAGCAGCAGCCTAACTTCGGTTCAGAGGAGTTTGTCCACAAGAACACCATTTTATTTTTATTTTTCTGTATTTGAACTCAGCAGAGCACCAAACTTATGCAGTGACACTGAACTGCACCCCCCTTTTTTTGTCGTTTGGAATCTTTGGATGTTAGTTTCCATATGTTTAAGCGTTTCTGCAAATTAAGGAAAATTTCCTGGAACTATTATCACCCTAGCTCCCAGAATTATCTTGTCATATCTGCTTGTGTTGCACGAGATGTTGAGAGTGGATGCTGACTTGTTCTTTTACCTTTTTTTCAGTTCATTCACTCTGTTAGTGCCACACTTCAGTTATGTCAGTTAGGATTTTTACCACAATTCTTATGCCTGTTTTTTTACCTGAGTTTGACACGTTTGTACAATGTACAGTACAGGTGACTGAAGTAAAATTTGAGCTGTACACGTTCAACACGTTGGTACAAGGGAGTAATAAAAAACTGCCGAGGAAAACTTTCATCTACTATACTGTGTACTGCAATATAATTTCACCATAACTTAACAAAATTACAAAATTATACCTAAGTTATATAAATATTACAATACTCTGCATTGTACCTATAGTGTAATTATATTACAATTATCCTATAATAATTATATTATAGTTACACTATAACTATACTATAGTTAAATTTGGAAGTTTGTTTAGCAGTTTTTTTAACAATTCCCTTGTACAATGTAAACAAATATGAGTTGTGACTTGTGAGTTGCACGCACAACAGCAAGAGAAGTAGCCAGAAAACAAGTACAAGCACAAAGGGCCGCAGTATGCAGACGCAGCTGCAGCAGCAGCGAAGAATATTGATAGAGTAATAGTAGAATTCCCATGGTCGTACAGCTCCAAATAGGCGGATTTATGGGGGGCAAAGATTACATCTTTCATTGAGTTTGCACAATCAACACAGCATGATTACACAATAAATAGTAATCTCTACACAAAAACCACCCTGACCTATTGCAATGGTGTTGCAATAGTTCAGCAGCACTCACCAGCACACCACACAAAGACATGGATGGCATCTCACCTAATACAAGTAGGCAAGGTGAAGCCATGGCACATAAAGACGAGCACAACGTATATTATTACCGTGAGGAGGAATATCAACGCAATCCTGCACACGGAGTAATGTGAGCCATGTTAGTTTCTGCAGAAGGCAGATGGAAAAGGATACAACAGCAGTCAAGTAAACAGATCTGAGAACTCATTAATATAAGGACAAATCTTCAGAAAGTGTGAGCTATGCCACATCACTGCTTGACGCAACAAAAGGAAAATGAGAAACTGACACTTGCTTGACGCAACAAAAGGAAAATGAGAAACTGACAAACTATCCAGAACCCCAAAAGTAAAACCAGATTTCAGAAACCAGAATGTCCTCCTTGGCTCCTTATTTACACACGATAACATGGTTACCATTCCAAATCGTATCAATACAGTTGCTTCGATTTCCAAACCTTGCTTCTCCTTTAGCCAGAAGACTTATGCATGAATCTTACAAATACAAAATTACGCAGAACTACTAAACACCAAAATAATTATAGCGACCGTTTATTTGTTGCATACAACATGTTACCAATCCATAAAGTAGCAATCATTTGTGCTGCATAAAACATTGGAAGGTTTTGTTTTTTACTGCATTTTTTGGCACAATATCCAGCAATCAAATTATTATAGAGTGAGGTTACTATGGAGCAGGACTAAGCCAAGTCCATTGCAGATGTAAAATACAGTGTAAATAAATTCACAAACCAAACAACAGTACCTAAGATGGTAGCAACTAGCAAACACAAAAGGAAAACTCAAGGTGCATGCTAACATGGGGTATCAAAATGTTCTTTATAGGAAGATAACATACGTGAGTTTAACATTTCTCCACCAGGTGGTATTTCTGAAGCGGCGAGCTTGTCGTTTAAAACGAATTGTATTTCCTTGCATATTTGCAGTCTTGTCGACCAACATGTCCAAACGATCACCTCTTTCAAGGACTTTATCAATATTGTCAATCATAACAGTACGGACCTGCGAGAGGGTAATGAAGAGTGAACATTTTGAATGCTGTAAGCGATCTCGACAGTATGCTTCTCTAATAGAAGGAACAGGACTCTGCTTTTGTTGTAGTTTTACCAAAAATCACAGTATTTGTAAAAATAAGCAATGTAAATATGATGACGCTTCAAGTACTGTGTGTACTTCAAAAAAAATATTGTGTGTGAATCCATGATCGTTGCACTTCTATCTTACAATGTTTGAAAACGCAGTGCATACTTATTATAATTTTTCAGATAAAATGTTTTACAGGATAGCACTGCAGAATATAAATGCAAATAAATTATGATGGATTTAAGTCATGTTCACACATGAACAACTTAACAGAAGCAATACCTGACTGATTTCACCCCTCATACGATTTATTCTGTCTGCGTTTGGGTCATTCGAATAGTAATCCATTTGCTGACTCAAGACCCTCGAGAACTCATCATTCATGCCATAAGCAAGGGATGTCAATGCAGCACGGCCATATGTCTTCACGAACCTTCCATGGATATCCTCAAGGAACGCAAAGGGGATTCGCCCTACAACAGAACGAAGTTAATAAGTCGCTATTAAGCCATTCACATAGTAATACCGCACAAAAAGAGTCTGCAGCAAGCCATGCTCAGACAAATCTGTTGGTTATCAAACCATTTAGTTTTAGGTGACGCTTAATGTGAAAGGCGTCGATTGCGCAATACAGAAAGTCAGAAATCTGACTCTTAACACGCATAAACCGCAACCTTTAGAGGCACTAAAATTTATTGTTGGTTTAGGAAGGTTGCTCTAGCCCAGCTCTCCTCTTGCTTCCTAGCTCAAAAAGAGCCTTTTGAAGCATTGAATTTCGTTTGATCAGGCAATTGCAAGACCCAGCTGAAAAGCTCAACTCGTCAAGTACCATCTATTGTCAGATGCCAATTGGCTAGCTCTGACTCGCACAATCCCAACCCTGTTTGTCCCTACTCCCGATCTAATCTACCAATGACCAATCCCCGAAGAGAACCACCTGCAACTGCAAAGCCAGCAGCTATCGGAGACGCGCATACAGACAAACCCCGCAATCAACTCCACCGGACGGATCCCCGCGATTCCGCCCGAAACCCACCCAAACGAAACTCAAAAATTCCCCCACCATACATGGCGCGGCGAGAGGTGGGATGGGGAGGCTTACGTCCGGCGGCCTCGTCGGCCATGCAGAGCGCGGTGATGCCGTCGGTGCGCTTGGCGTGGAAGACGTAGCGGTCCTGCGTGTAGGAGACGTGGCTGTCGGCTCCCCCGCCGGGGAGGCGCTCGAGGACCTGCCGCGCCACGGCGCCCGCGTTGGTCGCCGCCGCGCTGTGCTCCGCCAGCACCACCGTCCCGCGCGCCACCACCGCGTACAGGATCGCCATCTCCGCCGCGCGCCTCGCCTCGCCTCGCCTCCCGCCTCCGGCTGCCGTGCGGACGCGGAGGAGGAGGAGGAGGACGGCGGCGAGGGGGAGGTTGAATTAGTACTAATAATAATTAGAAGAAAAGAAGGAAAAATTAAAGGAAGAAGAAGGTTGGGGGGAGGAGTAGTATTTGGCGGAGACAGGTTGGATGGGGTGGGCTGGATGGGGCCCACCGGGGGGGGGGGCGTGTTTTGAGCTGGGGGTAGAGCCCCACCTTTATAATGTAGAATTGCGGTGTTGGAATGTGTTTGGGCTGGAACGCTGACGACGTACGCCGGTCGGTCGTTTATTCTATTACTACTACCACTTGGGTATGAGTATGACTCTATGAGCCGCCGTCCCGCGGTTGGGTTGCAAGTTGGCACCACCTGCACATTGCTGCGTTCGCTCCGCTCTCTCCGTTAATTTATTTATGGGATTTTTTCTTACACGAGATATCGCTTTATTATGATTCGTACAATATCATACTTTTGATGCAAGTTGACTCCGCCGCCGCCACGACTCGATCGAGCAGGCACTCGATCCCCTAACTCCGGCGCCAGCGAGACCCCCTCAGTCTCCCATCCCCTACTTTCCTTCTTCTCAAGCCTACAACGGCGAGGTGCTTACACCCTAAAACCGTGTTTTGTGACTCCCCGCCGTTGCCTTCTAACCCATGTCGTCATTTGTCCTTGCCACAAACACTGACCCACCGTCAGTTGCCAACCTAATGGTTCTAGCGCCTTGCCATTCACCTGTGTCTACTGTCCACTGTTGGTCCTTCGTCGCTCTTGGCCATCCATCTTAGCCCTCGGAAAACCCTATCTTCCCCCACCCTTATCCCCCTCCGACCTTAACCCTGACCTAAAACCCTAATCTGCATCTCGACAGTTTCATAAAATATAGTTGCATTTGAATAGCATAGGTAAAAATGATCATAAATTTTTAGCTAGCCATCAAAGTAGGAAACTAAACTCGGTTCTACAACTCTTAGCTGTATCACTAAATAAAAGGTGATGAGAAATAGATAGTTTTTAAGGGTGTGTTTAGTTCACGTCAAAATTGAAAGTTTGATTGAAATTGGAATGATATGACGGAAAAGTTAGAAGTTTGTCTGTGTAGAAAAGTTTTGATGTGATGGAAAAGTTGAAAGTTTGAAGAAAAAGTTTGAAACTAAACTCAGCGCAAGTCATACTCCCTCCGTCCCAAAAAAAAAAAGCTCAACCTAAACAATGATGTGACATCCCCTAGTACAATGAATCTAGATAATTCTTTGTCCAGATTCGTTGTACTAGAAAATATCACATCCCCTTTTAGGTATCATTTTTTTTTTGGACGGAGGGAGTACTGTACACAGCAAAATTATGAACAGGGGTCAGAGGATCAGATCAATAGGATTATAGGTGTGTCACTTGTCAACCACTTTTTGCAAGATGTTTTCGAGTCGACGAAAACGTTTGTAAGAATTTGGAGATAAATTTTGATGTAAACATCTGAAGTTTTGTATATTTAGATATGGATGACGAAAAATATGTAGGTTCAGTTTAGTGGAACCTCAACCAAACCCTCTGCTGTTTGGAATCAGACTCCTTTGTTTATTGATGAAATCAAATGGTGGGTGAAGCTTTGATCGATGGTGTGCATCCGGATCGCAGATGATTTCACATAGGAAAGAAATCTGTAGCGAATCATCTTGTGTCTGAATTTTGTACTACGTTACATGGTTGAGTAAATGAAGCGATAAAAATTGTGAGATTTTCAGAGTTCAGACAACCATGTGGTGGAGTCTTGAATTCTTGACGTTGTGCAACATTCGCGACATGTATAATAATGAGAGCAAGTTTAATACTTATAGTATAGCTCACTACTAGCTCCAATTCATTTATAGACAATTCATATAATAACTGCTTACTATACTATTAATATATGGTCCCACCTATCATACACACACTGTGTCTTGGAGTCCACGCTGTAGCTGGCTACAGATCTATAGCCCACTGCTCTTCTCTCTTATCTTTTGTCTTATTAAAATATATTTACAGCCGGCTAATAGATGCTATTGTACCTGCTCTGATGAGAAATTTCTTAGGCCATCCACAATGGGTACCCCTAAGCGTGTCCCTGCTCACGGCCGTCGCCGCTCCGTCCGTTTGCCGTCCCCCAGCAGAGGGGCGCGTCTCCCTCCACTCCTCGGTCGCTTTTCGTTGAGCCATGGAGCTAGGGGACGCGTTGGGCGACGTCGTGGCTTGAGGACACGGCTCCCGCACCTGATTTTTCCCCTTTCACCCTTGGCCTCTTCGCTGGGACTGGGAGGCCCATGGCGGTGGGGAGGAGACGGAGTTGGCGACGACAACGACCGGCGACGACCCCGCGATGGAGACTGCTCGGCGACGACCCCGCGCCGCTCGCCATCGGCCACCGCGCCCGGCCCCGCGCCGCTCGCCGTCCGCCACCGCGCTCGGCGAGAGAGAAGGAGAGGTGACGACGGGTGGCTCAAGATAGAGAGAGAGGAGAGAGGCGACGGCGACGACCAGATCCGGCCACCGCGCGTCGCGGCAGCCGTCGGCCACCAGCCGGCGACGGGCGGAGGGCTTCCTCGCGCGGCGGCGGCGACCAGATCTGGCGCAAGCTGTCGGCGGCGCGCCGGTGGCTGGGGAGGGCGCAGGCTGTCGGCGCGGCGACAGCTGGGGAGGGCGAGGAGGGAGGCAATGGCGGTGGCTGGGGAGGGCGAGGATGGAGGGGACGGCGACGCGCGCGAGAGAGGGGAGTGATTGGCGATGCGCACATGAGAGAGAGAGAAGAGAAGCATCGGTGCGGTGGGGGAAAAATGTCGTCGGTGGGCTGGAGGATAGAGGAAGGGTAGTATAGGAAAATACCAAATATGGGCTTTTTGGTTGGGACACTCATTGTGGGTTTGAGTGTCTTCATCCAGTTGCCTTATATTTTGAGGAGCCCATCTAGGGATACCCTCCATTGCAAGTTGAGTTCCCCTAGAGTGTCCTCAGTTAGTGAGGACACTCTAGGAGTGTCTCACATTGTGGATGCCCTTAGGCCTTTCACAGTGCAATGATGTGGCGCTTTGCTTCGTTGACATGGAGGAGAAAAGGAGGTGGGTCCCGTGCCCTCGCGAGGTTTACGCCTCCTAGCTAGGGTGCGAGTTGCTCATGCCCAAAAAAGCAAAAAGCAAACGGTCCCCTCTCTCTGCTACTCCCAAATCTTCCCCATTCTACTCTTCTTCCCCGCCAACTCTCACCACCATGCCAACAATCGAGCGGGCTTGGAGTCACCGGCGATGCTGCCGAGTGCCGACGAGGAAGGGGAGAAACCGAAGGATGGGAAAAAGCGGCAGGGCAGGTTGGTTCGCGGCGATGGCGAGGGAGGAGCGGGCGGAAAGGAATGAGCAGCTTGCCAGATCCGCGGTGCCAAGCTCGCCGCCGAACTCGTCGCCGTCCCCCGCTCCGGTTCGCCGAGCTCGTCGCCGTCACCCGCTTCCGCGCCGTCGACATTGTCGCCATCTCCCGCTCCTGTGCCGCCGACCTCGTCGCTGTCTCCCGCCCCGCGTCGCCGACCTCGTCGTCGTCCCCGCGCTCTGCTCCGTGTCGCCGAGTTCGTCGCCGTCCTCCGCTCCCGCGCCGTGGAGATGAGATCAAGGACATCGTCGCCGTCCCTGCGCTCCGCTCCGCGCCGAATCCGTCGTCGAGCCACTGCCGGGGGTGGAGGGGCTGGTGAGCCCTCGCGCCGCTGCAGCCCTCCGCGCCCTCGTCGCCAGCCAGAAGTGGAGGGGCTGGCGAGATCTCGCGCCACCGCCGCCGAACTCGTCGCCGTCTCCCGCCCCGCGCTCCCACCCGCGTCGCCGAGTTCGTCGCCGTCCTTCGCCGAAGGAGAGGAGAGCCGGCGCCGGCGGAGGGAGGAGGGGAGCCGGCGCCGGCGGAGGGAGAAGGGTTGAGAGAGCCGGCGTGACTGTGAGGAAGTAGTTGGGGGATTTGGGTATAGTAGTATGGGTGGAGATTTATATTTTTCTCTCGATTTTAGGGTGGTTACTGTAAAATTTGGACTCCTTTGCAAATTTATAAACATATGAGAGCTGACATGGAAAGTTACAGGGGCTGAAACAAAAAAGTAAGTCACTCATGAGGCTATTTGCACTATGGGAATACAGAAACTTGGATCCGGCTCTTCATCCTACGTGGAATGAGATAGGGGAACGCTGTACTGTGAGAGGCCTCTTTGTGCAGGTCCATCTAGTGTGTGCTGGAGGGAGGGAACGGGGAACGTGGCAACTGACACGTCTCGACCTTTTTTGTTGCAGGGGGGCGATGGTCTTTTGCCATTTTGGTCCAAATGTGAGTGCGTTGCCGTTCGAGAGGGAGGAGGAGAAACAGTAGGAGAGGTTAATGTGAAAAGCGAGTTCTACAGGTGGAGTAGCGGAGATGGTCCGCATAATGTTCGTTTCCAGGGGTTGCGGCTGTGTTTAGAGCAGGGTGAAAAATTTTGTCGCGTTGTATTGGTTATACGGACATATATTTAAAATATTAAATATGGTTATAATAAAATAAATTATAGATTTTGCCTATAAACTGTGAGATGAATTTATTAAACCTAATTAATCTGTTATTAGTAAATGTTTACTATAGCATTATATTATTAAATCATAGAGTAATTAGGTTTAAAAGATTCGTCTTACAATTTACACGCAATCTATGTAATCAGTTATTTTTTCGTTTATATTTAATACTCCATGAATGTCTAAATATTTATACTTCATGAATGTCTAAATATTTTGATATGATGTGAAAATTTTTGACAGGGATACAGGAGTGAATGCCCCGTTGCTGGATGGACTGAGAAAACTCGCACAAAACACGATGCATTCCTCCTCTTCCTCCCCGTCGTCCTCCGTTGAGATCATCGACGCCGACGCCTTCCGCTCTCGCTCCACCGACCCCGACCACCGCCGCGCAGACGCCGCCGCCGCCGACTCCCCGTTCCCGAGGTCCGTCGCCGACCACATCGCCTCGTCTCTGCGCACGCAGGAAGCGGTCGACGCCGTCTGCAAGAAGTACGGTGTCCTGGCGGAGTTCGCCGCGCGCCCCGCCGGCGACCTGCGCGCGTGCTCGGCGCCGCCGCCGGGCGCCGCGTGCGTGTACGCGCGGGCGCTGGAGGCCGGGATGCGCCTCCCGCTGCACCCCTTTGCCTGCGAGCTTCTCCGCCATCTCGGCGTCGCGCCGAGCCAGATCACGCCCAACGGGTGGCGCGTCGTGGCGGGGTTCCTCCTGCTCTCCCACCACGCCGCCGCGCCGCCGTCGCTCGCCGTGTTCCGGCGCTTCTTCAGGCTGTTCTTGTCCAAGCTGAACGGCTGGTACCACTTCCGGGGCAAGCGCGGCGCCGGCGCCGACGGGGTGCTCTTCACGGGGTTGCCCAAGCTCAAAGGGTGGAAGGGAGGCTTCTTCTTCGTGTCGTCGCCGTCGCCATGGCCGTGCCAAGTGCGATGGGGCGGGCCGCCGCCGTCCAAGAGCTCTACCGCCGAGCCGGTGCTCAGCGGCGAGGAGATGGAATTGGCGGGAAAGCTTCTGCACTTGCATGGCGGCGCCGCGGTTGATCTGAGGACGTATCTCTGCGAGAGCAACCTCGCCGCGGTGTTCTCCTCCAACCTCGCCGGCGCCGCACCACCGCAGCCGCCGCCTCCTCGTCCTGCTCGTGCTAAAGGTAAGTTTCCTTTCTCCGGCGAGTTCAACGCACAGAAGGTGAAGACCGAGCCGGAGAGCGACATGCCGTGGTGGTCGCCGTTGTCCGGGAAGAAGAGGGGGTTTGAAGCAGAGGAGAATAACCCGCCGCCGTCGCCGACGCCGACGCCGCCTGCTCCGCATGGCGGCTCGTGGTCGTGGTCGGCTTCCGGCATGTGTTCCCCGCCGCCGGGCTTCGCGGCGCACGTGCCCGACAAGCACGACGGCGACTCGGCCGACTGGAAGGCCGCGCGGCAGCTGCTCCAGGCCATCGTCACGCCGTCACGGGAGCGCCGGTTCCCGGCGGCGAAGCCCTCCGACGTCGTCGCGTCGAGCTACCTGACACTGCTTCAGGTACGCCTCCGCCGCGGCCGCCATTGACGCGAACCGCTCAAGAATCGTCGCGTGCACTTGCCTTCATTCATGTCGTCGTTGTTTGGCGCAGGCGGCGAACTACGCGTCGTTCTCGTTCGGCTACGCGCTGGAGCTGGAGGAGAAGCTGCGTGCGCGGGAGCGCGACGCCGCCGCGGAGGCGGACGCCGTGCGGAAGGAGCTCGAGGAGAAGGCGCTGCGCGAGCTCGCGGCGGCGAAGGCGGCGGCGGTGCAGGAGTACCTGCGCTCCGACGAGCACAGGCGGGAGCTCGCGGCGCACGCGCTGGAGGGGTACGAGCGCGGCATGGAGCGTCGCGCTCCGGCGCCACCCGCCCGGATACAGGTAGTGTTAGATAATATATCTCATCCTGTATCTTATCCCATATTATTTCCTTCCAATCGGATTCGAGAACGGATATCTATTTGTATATCTAATTCATAGATATTAAATATAATAAAGTAATTGAAGTATTAAAAGAGATACATCAAGAAAAAATTATACAATATTACATGTGAGTATGTAAAATAGTTATTAACCAATCTTTTATCATATTTTTTATCATATTTTTAGGTGAATCAATAATAATTTTTCATACATATTTTATAATACGGAACATATGGGCGGATACATGTTTTCCCGTATCCTAACCCATATTTATGGCATGCCACATCTTAGGTACTAAAGGTTTGGCAACCTGAAAAAGCATCAAAACAACCCCTACTAGTTAAAATTTGAAGCACCCAACCAAAATATATTCGTGAATCATTTTAAGCATAGTACTATAAAGTCTTGTTCAACATAGTTCATTCATTTCAGCCCATCTCATTCACAAAAAGAGTGAAGAAAAATTCGAGCAAAGCAAAAACATCTCAAAACCACAAATAACAAGAAGGAATCCTGACACAAATCATCTATCATTCTCAACATCTCCCACAATCATAAACAAATTAACTAAATTAACCAAACTTGCCTGATGTTGAGGCAATCAAGAAAGCGGGGATTAGATAAGACAACACACATGGAGTGACTTCTATCAAACATTCTCCCGCGAACAGTGCTGGTAAACTCGAGTAGACGGGCAGCACCAACATCCACAGTTCTTAACCTCGGTTGTTTTTTTCTTGTGATGCTTCTCCACCTTCGCACACAGTTTCTTCGCTGTCTTGAGCATAGAACGAAGCGAAACTTGCGCACGGACGAACTCGCTACCAAACCCGCCGCCTCACTACGAGGGATGAAGAGAGAGTAGGGGTAATGTATTTAGATTTGAAATGGGTTGGTTTCTACAACAGATTTTAAAGAGCAGATACTATCTAATTGGCCTTATAGGGTGCAGATGGGGTTTTGGATTATTCTGCTCACTTGTTTGAGGAGATGGCTGAGGGTTATAGAGTGCAGAGCGGGTTTTAGATTATTGGCATGTTTTGCTCACTTGTTTGAGGAGATGACTGAGGGGATGGAGTGCTAATCTAAACAGTGCTAAGAAGGAATTGAAAAATGCTTTGGTAGAGCTGGATAACAAGACATATGACAGTGGACTTTTTGACAGTGAATGGAAAATCAGATATGAGATGGAAAAGGAGATGGAAAATATTTACATTCAGGAGGAGATCTGGTGGCAGAGAAGAGTGGCAGAGAAGAGGAGGGGAAACTTGATTTTACAAGGAGATGCTAATACAACCTTTTTCTATAAGCCCTGCAAATGGAAGGTAAAGGAAAAGCCATATCTTCTCTTAAGGGGATGTTAATATCACAAAGCTCTCACAAATTAAACAACACATGCATATTATAAGGGGTTGCTTGGAAAAGAAGAAAGCAGGGAAGTTCATCTAAGTCCTGAAATCTGGCAAGATAAGTTGAGACTGACTGAGAAGGAAAAAGTTTAGATGGTTAGACCCTTCTCTTCAAATGAAGTGGACAAAGTGATGAAGACTATGAAAAACAATACAGCTTCTAGCCCTGATGGGTTGCCTGTGGGTTTTTATAAACAAATGTGGCCTCATATAAGGGTTTTAGTTAAAGAGATGTTAGATGACTTACACATGGGTGAGCTGGATATAGATATGATCAATTATGGGGTGATTTCTCCTTTGCCAAAAATCAGCGATGCAAACACAATCAAACAGTATAGACCCATCTATCTACAAAATGTGACTTTTAGGATGATTGAAGTGGCAAACAAAGTGATTAGTTGGTCTCAAACTGCCTTTATACCTAGAAGGAATATTTTAGAAGGTTGTTTTATTTTACATGAGGTGATGTATGAGTTGAAAATAAAAAGGGATACTGGGATTATCCTCAAAATTGACTTTGAGAAGGCTTATGACAGGGTAAAATGGGATTTTTTGTATGAGGTCATGGAGAAAACGAATTTTGACTCCATAATGGTGGGATGGATAAAAAATATAACTGAAGATGGGAGAGTGAGTATTAACATTAATAGTAAACAGGGACATTTTTTCAAAACTTACAGGGGTTTGAGGCAAGGAGACCACTTGTCTCCTATCCTTTTCAATCTTGTGGGTGATGCCTTGGCTGCCATTTTGGATAAAGCCAAAGAATGGGGAGTCCTTGAAGGTCTGGTTCCAAACTTAGTGGATGGGGGTTTGACTCACCTTCAATACGCTGATGATACAATCCTATTCATTAAGAATTCTGATGAGAACATCCTTGCCCTTAAGTTCTTATTATTCTGCTATGAAGAGATGTCAGGGATGAAGATTAATTATCAGAAAAGTGATGTATATGTCATAGGGGTGGAGGATAGTGAGGGATTAAGAATTGCTAATATGCTGAATTGTAAGATTGGTAAGATGCCTTTCACATACTTGGGTTTGCCTATGGGGGTTGACAGAATTGGGATGAGAGACCTATCTCCAATCTTTCAGAAAGTTGAGAAGAGACTTCAGTCTTGGAAGAGCTGCCACTTGACTTATGGCGGCAGGGGGATCAAGATTAACTCATATTTGTCTAGTGCACCCATGTATGCTATGGTTTTCTACCTTTTGCTTGAGGGGTTTCACAAAAAAAAGGACACAATTAGGGGGAACTTTTACTGGCAGGGGGTTGGGGAAAAAAGAAATATCATATGATAAGATGGGATGCTCCGTGCAAGCCCAAAGAGTTTGGGGGAATGGGTTTTTTGGATACTAGAGCAATGAATCTTTGCTTGCTCAGTAAATGGGTTATGAAATTGGAAAGTGGAGCACCTGATGTTTGCTTGGAGGTACTGAGAAGGAAATATTTGAGGAATTGTAATTTTTTTCACAAGGAATGGGAGTGGTGGCTCTCAATTTTGGATGGGTTTGTTGAAATGCAAAGAGTGGCTTTCTAGGCTGGTCACAAAAGAAGTGCACAGTGGGAGAGATGTGAGTTTTTGGAAGGATGTTTGGTGTGATAATGTACCTTTGAAAGTTATCTATTTGAAATTAGTCATGATCAAAATGCTACTGTCAAGGATATGGTGGTAGAAGGAGAATGGAGCTTGGAGTTTAGAAGAAATTTAGATGAACAAAGGGGTAGAGAGGTTGGGGAGCTTGTAGAGATAATTGGGGAATCTCAGTTGGGGACTGATAAAGACAAGGTTTATTGGCCTCATACTAAAAAAGAGGTGTTCACCACAAAATCAATGTACATAATTTTAACTTTTAAGGGTATTAGGGATATTGAAATGAGGGCAGTTTGGAAAGATAGAATTCCTCTAAAGATAAAACATTTTTTGTATCTAGTTGGGAGAGGTAGACTCCCCTGTGCTGAGCAATTGGTGAAAAGGAATTGGAAGGGGGGGAATGAGTTCTGTAAACTCTGTTTACAAACTGAAAATACTAACCATGTTATCTTTCGTTGCTCTTTAGCTGTTTTTTTTTTTTTTTGTCGTGGATGGTAGGGAAAGGATGAACGTGACAACTAACACGTCTCCAGTAGTTTTGTTGCACGGTAACAGAGTAGCTGCAGGGGGCAGTCACATTTTGGTGCAAATGTTGTGTTGGGTTCATGATGGGGAAGGAAACTGGAGAGGTAAATTAAAGAAATGGAGAGTCGACAAATGTGGAAATATGAAACAAATATGAAAGTGTGAAAGTAAGAGCATTTACGAACCACAGCTCAAGCAAGCCTAACAAAAAAAAATTAAGAGACAGATGTGGAAATGTGAGAGTGAGAGCAATTATGAACCACGGTTCAACCCACTGGTCTTAGCCAAGTCTATGAGGCGAAGATTTGGGATAAACTCGGGTCAACGAAGCAGTGATGGCGGCATCCCTCGCGGTTCATCTCTCCAAGCTACAAGATGTGGCGATGGAGTTGATTGTCGCACCACCATGGCCCTTGGACACACCACCTTCATTCTTTTCCTCCTCGAATGATTAAGCTGCTAATGAAAGAAAACGGGTAGGGGAAGCTTTTAATTTTTTAGCCATTAGATGTGCTTCGAGGGGAGAAAGACATTTTCTTCGCATGTGGGGCTAGGGAATCATACTCTCACTGTGAGTTTGAAACCGAGCGCCGCTTGTTGTTACATAGGAGTAACATTGTAATTATATTTACAATATAATTACACTTCAATTATATTAGAGTTATATTTGAATGTTTTTATATAGTTATTCTCTTATATTATCTATGGTTGTGGCCTATGTTGCGAAACTAGAGAGAGTTTTTTTCCCATTTTTTTATCATTATTTATATTTATTTAATATGTTAATGTACACAAGGAAATATCTCTTCAAGAGATTGAAAAAACAATCTCCCGTGTATAAATTGGGAAATGGATTGATTGTAATCCCTTAAGGCGAATGTTTCATCGCACGCATTTTTCTTTTAAATTTGGTGCAACTGGCTGTAAAATTACTTTTAAAAATTGATAATGTACAACATAATAATACTAATCACTCCACCAAAATCAATTTCAAAATTGACCTACATATTTTTTAAAAAGAATTGGAGGAAATTTAGGTTTGAGTAATACCAAACAATTGATTTGTCCTTTTTTAATTATTATTTTTCAATATGGGTTTGAATTAAGACTTGAGATTTTATGAAGTGGTATATGTATTGTATAATTTTTACTAAATTCAATAAGATTTTTTATATACAAACGAATGGTGTTTAAATGAATGAAATGATATATTACGAGAGATGTAGGAATGTTCCCCATAAATTAGGATAAGTATCCTCTGTCTTTAAAATCATGTGACTTTATCATTGACACGTGTGGATTCAATATAGGCAAAGGATTTCAATCCCATAAATTAAGTGCAAAGCGCGACACTCAACCACAGCACGTAGTACGCGCTGTTGGTTGGTATTTCCTCGCGAAGCCCAACCACAGCTCGCCATGCCATCCTCTCCACGCTCCTCGTCGTCGTGGTCGCCGCCGGCCGCCGCGCGCCTCGGCCGCGCCCGCTCGCCCAGCACCGGCGGCGGCGGCGGCCGCGCGCGCGCTTTGACCGTGGCTGAGAAGACAACGTCGTGGCTGCGCACGGCGGACGCGCTGAGAGACATCACCGGGAGGTGCTCCATCCCGCGCGGCTTCACCGCGCTCCTCGCCGGCGACCTCCCGGCGTGCGCGCCGCCGCCGCCGGGTGCGGCGTTCGTGTACGTCGCGGCGATGGAGGAAGAAAGGCTGATGCGGCTACCGCTGCAACCGTTCTTCGCCGCGGTGCTCGCCCACTTCGGGCTCGCGCCGAGCCAGCTCACGCCCAACGCGTGGCGCCTCCTCGCCGGCTTCGCCGCGCTCTGCCGCCGCGCCGGCGTGGCGCCGCCGCCGCCGCCGCCGCTGACCGTGTTCCGGCACTTCTTCACGGCGATCGGGTGCCCGCCCGGGGCTTGGTACTCCTTCCGCGCCAGAGGCTCCGCCTCCACCGGCTCGCTCTTCACCCGCCTGAGCAACGTGACGATGAACCCGTGGTGGAAGGAGCAGTTCATCCTCGTCTCGTCGCCGGCGCCATGGCCGTGCCCCGTGAGGTGGGGGAAGCCTCGCAAGCACGCCAACTTCCCTCCGGTGCTCACCACCGCTGAGAAGGACATGGCGACCAAGCTACTTCTTGCTCGCGGTAGCTCGTTGATTGATCTCACAACGTACAACTCCATCGCCGCTGCCAAGAACATCATCGCGCCGCCGCCGCCGCCGCGAACTCTCAAATCCGAACGGGCGTACGCGTCTGTCAATGCCATGATGAGGGAACCGCGGCCGCATAAGGCACCCATGGCGGCGGCCGCAGAGGAGGTGGATGTGAAGAGCGAGCCTGATTTGGACGGACCGGCGTGCGCACCGTCGTCATCGAGGAAGAAGAAGAGGAAGATGGTGGACGACGACGCCATTGCAGTGGAGGGACCATCCGGGCACGGCGGCGGCGGCGGCGGGTGGCCGGCGCTGTACCCGGCTTGCCTACCGCCACCGGGCTTCAAGAAGCTGGACGACGACGACGACGGACACGAGGGTGGCTGGAAGGCGGCGAGGCAGCTGCTGCAGGGCGCCGTCACGGCGCGACGGGAGCGCGCGTTCGCGGCGTCCAAGCCGGCCGACGTCGTCGCGGCGAGCTACGTGGCCATGCTCCAGGTTAGCTTGTCTCTCGCTCTCGCGTGCGTCGTGCACGCGCGCGAGGTCTGTAGCTGACCTGTTTGATCGATTGCGTCAATGGCGCGCAGGCGGCGAACCACGTGGCGTTCTCGCTGGGCTACGCGCTGGAGCTGGAGGAGAAGGCGAGGGCGAGGGAGCGCGACGCCGGCGCGGCGGAGGCGGCCACGCCGCGGGAGGAGCTGGCCGAGGTGAAGGACGAGCTCGCCGAGATGGAGACGGCGGTGGAGGCGATGAGGGCCAAGCTCGCCAAGGCAAAGAGTGCGATCGCGGCGGCGGCGGCGTCGGCGGCGCAGCCGGAGCCGGAGAGGATCAAGTCCTCGTGGGGTCCAGGGGGAGCGCGCTCCGCTCGCCGGAGAGGGACGAACACGGCGTGGAGAGAAGAAGCAAGCAATGAAATGTAAGGCGGTGGAAGTGAAACTATCTTTTGAAATTTGGCACAAAGCAATAGGTTCAAGGGAGCTCGAAATTTCAAAATTCTACGTAAACCTAGCAGTCTGAGGGAGCTCCAATGATTTTGATGAAATTCAAGCGAATTTGTAAGCCCTTGATTAATTCTGGCATTATTTGCAAAAAGTTTTAGGGCCTCCTTCAGTTGCATGAATTTTTTTTTTTAGGCCCCGAGCCCTCGGAGGCTCGGAGGCGTTCAAGCTCGCCGCCGACGAGGTGGCCCTGTACCGGCCTTTGCCTGGCAGGTCGGAGTTGCATATTTTGGCTCGGGACGCGATGGAGTTTGCGACCTCTGATGCCCAACAGTTTCGTCTATGCTCATGACTGAGACTTCACAAGATTGGAACAAAATATGTGACAAAATTACTGTTTTTTTCTTCTCTTTTAAGTGTAAATCTATTATAGCTCTTGCATATACTTGGTCACTCTACCCGTTCATCCGAGCACGATTCAGGCTTTGATCAAATATTGGAAGAGTTGTTTCGGTCAATGCTTCAGCTCATCTCTCCCTTTATGATTAAATTTTATAAAATATTCACTCCATCCAAAAAAAACAACCTAAGATGGCTTATCCCGCCTCTTCTAATAAAATGAATCTAGACATAATGTTTAGATTCATTGTATTAGGAGGGGTCATATTTCTTTCTAAGTTGGCTTTTTTTAAATGGAGGGAGTATATTTTTATATATATTTCCTCCGTCCCATAATATAAGGATTTTGTTGTGATTCGTAGTACTAGGATCACATTCCAACAAAATCTCTTATATTATGAGATAGAGAGAGTACATATCGATTTTGAATATAATCTAACATTCACATCTTCACATTTAATTACCTGGATCACATCCCAACAAAATCCCTTATATTATGGGATGGATGGAGCACATATCGATTTTGAATGTAATATAACATTCACATCTTCACATTTAATTACCTAGTACACGCCGTTTTTAGTGTTTGTGTGTGTTTTTACCAATTTATTTACAAACACTTCTTTCAAATATCTCAAAGGTGTCACCACCACCTACCTATTTATGTGGTCCATATTGTCCACTATTACACTTGAAATTCAAATAAGTGAATCCATCGTCAAGCTGTGAGGCATATGGATTAGCATCATCCATTTACATCGAATTTCAACAAAAATATGTTTTTTTCCAATTAACTTTTGATAAAGTAATATGTTTTTAACGCATAGGTAGTTTTGACGGCTTGTTTGGTAACTTGAGGGAAAGGGATTAGGAGTTTACACGAAGAAATTGATGATGAGATTAAGATGGGAATTTGATTTTTAATCCCAGTATCTTGTTTGGTAGAGGTGATGGTAATTGACAGGGAGTTTAGTTGGAGATTAGGTCATTAATAAAAACAGATGGCTGAGATTTGCTTAGTCAAAGTAAAGAAGGAATTCCCTCCCAATTACCTGCCCCATCCCACCAAAATTCACATGTCTCCCAATCAAACAAAACACTTAATAGCTTCATCCCTCTAAACTCCCAATCCCTCCTAAAAACTCCCTCCAACCAAACGGGCCGTGAGGTGTTTTCAGTAAAAACCGATGACGTGGGAATGTGTAATTAAGTTGTGGTCCCCTCTCCCGCTCCTGGCCCGGCCCAACTCAGTCTCTCTCTCAACGTTCGTTGCGTCTCGAGACTCGTGACTGGAGCTTCGAGACTGGCGGCGCAACTTCCAGGGGTGGAGCCACCACCCGGCTAGCCCAGGCAACTAGAGATGGCAACGGGGCCCCGCGACCCGAAACCCGTTGGGTTTCTACTCTATTAGGGTGTATATACGTTCCAAACATCATACCCGTGGGTACATCAACGGGCAAAACCTTCACCCATCGGATACGGGTGTGGGTACGTTCTCCTGTCACCTGAACCCATTAACCCGTGGGTTGAAAATACCCGTAGGCCTAGCCCAATAAGCAAATGGCCCAAGGCCCACAACCATCAAAACCCTAGGTATAAATACTCTTTTCCTCACTCCTCTAAACCCTATTCCCCTTCTCCTCCTCTCCTCTCCCTCCTGCTGCCGTTTAGCCGCCGGCCCCCATCACCCAAGCGGCGAAGCCACTGCCGCACCGCACGGATGCACACGGCGCGCCACCGCGCACGGGAGCACGCACACGACGGCACGACACGTCGACACCCCATAGGCGCGCACGACCGCAGCACCTGCCGCCGCCCACCAGCCGGTCTCGGTCGCGCCGGTGGAGCAGGGGCGCCACCGTGCGGGCAGCCGCCAGCGTGGGAGGGGGGGCGCTGAGGGCGGACTAGTAGGGGCGCCGCTGTGCGGGCAGTAGCCGCCTGGGGAGGGACGCCGCCTCCTGGGGGCGGGACAGCCACCGCGTCGGTCGCCGCCTGGGGCACGAACGCTCGGTCAGCTCTCGGCAGGAGCGCCGCCGCAGGTGCAGTGAGGTAGTAGGTCGCTGGATCCGGCTGGGGCCGTGACCGTGAGGCGCCACATTTTTTTCCCGCATCGTCTGTTCCATTCGTCCCCTCCAAATTCCAATCGGTCGTTCCTGTTCCCATCCCCACACCAGCATAGCATGGCAGCAGGCTCCGGCAACGACGACGGCTGGTGATCCTCTTCCCCTTTGTTCTTAACTGTTGCATTGCAGCTATATATCTAATTCCCTTGCCTCGCATCAACTAACCCCCACGATGTCCGAAGGGACGCCACCTCCACTGACCATCCACCGTCAGATCCGGTGGGTACACAAGACAACACTGGTAAAGGAGTTAAGCCGGCGTCTCCTGCGACACTTCCGCCGCTGCCTCCTATCACCGAAGTAACGGAACCCCTTTCCGGTGTAGTCGTCCCCGATCCAGTCCACAAGGTTCCCAAGGCAAAGGCGGGTATTTCTCCAGCCTTAGTGCCCGTGCTGCAACCAAAAGACCTATAGGAAGTGAGCTAGACCGTTACTTGGATGAGGATTTGGTGGACAGTCGCACAAAGAATTTCAATGTTTTAGATTGGTGGAAGGTGGCTGGAACTCGGTTCCCTGTTTTGAGGAGGATAGCAAGGGATATATTTACAATTCATGTTAGCACAGTTGCTTCAGAATCAGCTTTTAGCACTAATGGGAGAGTTCTTAGTGAGCATCGTAGTCGGCTCACTTCTAAGTTGTTAGAAGCTCTAATGTGCCAACAGGATTGGCTTCGAAACAAGTACAAAGGTTAATTTGCACTTGCTGTTATGCAATTAGTTAATTTCCTTCTAACTACAAACAAATTATTTACTTTTATAATTCTGTGTTTTGCAGTTGATGAGAAGGACAAAGAGCAAGCTTCCTTTTGGTCTTGTCTTCAAGACATACAAGAGGGTCTTCAGGTTATTGCTTACTCCTCTCTAAAACTTTCTCTGTCATTTCACTTGTGTCACTCTTATGTAACAGCCAAAAATAAATTGCTCCCTAATTTGACTTATATTTTGTGTACTGAACTACTTATGTAGGAACTTACTATTTGAGAATTGAGACTAGAAGAGGATGGATGTATTTTGCTTTCAAGAATTGAATTGATGTTGATGGAGGAAATCCTAGAGAGGCTGCAAGAATTGAACTACTTATGTCATTTTGGTTGTAATGATTTCGTATGTTCACTGTGTGTGAACACTTGAATGTTGTTGGAGGAAATCCTAGGAGGCTGCAAGAATTGAACTACTTATGCCATTTTCGTTGTAATGATTTTGTATGTGTCACTGTATGTGAACACTTGAAGAGTTGAACTCTAGAGCTTTAGACTGATGTGGACCAGTAGGTTGATGTGTTGATTTGTTGTCATTAAACTTGCTGGAATGATGATATTGCTGCATGCTTTGAGCTTGGAATGATGTTGCATGCCTGGAGCTTGGTTAATAGGTTATGCATTATTTGAATTATCATCTTATTATAATTGTTGATTTTGCAATGTGGTTGCATGGCTTGCTGTTGATTTTGCAATGTGGCAGCCTGGCAGGCTGTATGTATCCTGTATGGTTTGTTTGAGCCTTAGATTTTCAATTCTAGTGTGTACATATCACTGCAGCTAACCTTATTGAGTTATTGTTGTGCACAATTAAAATTGTTGCAACGAGTGTGGGTACCTATCACCCGTGCGGGTGCGGGTATGGGGAAATTTCTCACCCGCGAGCGGGTGTGGGTTTTGTAGTGGGCAGATTTAGTTTCAATGGGTGAGGGTACGGGGACTGGAAACCCGTCGGGTCCATACCCGTTGCCATCTCTGCAGGCAACCGTTTGGGCTCGCATGTGAAAACTCCATTAAATTTTAATATTCTTAAATAAATGGCAAAATTTGCTATATGACACTTAAAAAATGTGTAATTAGCTGTGGAACACCTCAAAAATGTGAATTGGCTATAGGACACCACAAAAGAGTGGTAATTAGCTACTAGATACCGGAGATATTATTTTATTATTTTCGATGGAAATGAAGAGAGAAAAAGCGTTGAAAGTACCGAATGCCCCCGCGTCGTTTTTCTTGTGCTGGAGTCGCACGCCATCAAGAAGCCGCCGTCTGGTGCGGCGGCGGCGCAAGCGCATTAGATTCCGCCCGGAGCAGCAGGCCTCGCAGCAGCAGTTGCCGCCTCGGGTGTCGGCTCCGGCGGCCACGGCGAGAAGCCCTGCTGAGCCTGGCCGCTCTCTCCTCACGCATGCACGCACTGCTCGCTTGCTTCCTCAAATCTTCTCCTGGGCCAGGCAGAGAGGCAGAGAGGGGACGGAGACCAGTGAATGCCATCGCCCAGGCTCCACTGCAGGTTGTCGTCGGCGAGCACGTACTGATACGAGCCCATGAAGTAGCACCACCGCACGTTGATGCAGCAGCTGCCACCTCGCGTTGGCGTCGTCATCCTCGCCGGTTGCTGCGGCGCCGCTGCGCTGCGTGCTCTTGAACCAGCCAAGCCGCTGGTCGCGGCCTTATTGGACACCGCCGCCTCCTCCTGCGGCTCCACATTCTAGTCCTCGACAGTCGACATCGGGCTGCCGCAGCGGCGGCGAGGGCGCGGCGCGGCAGAGCGGGCACGATGCGGGTGTCCGCGGTGATGGCGGCGAGAGCGGCGACGACGCGGGCGGAGAGCGCGGCGCGGCAGGAGCTGGAGCGGCGCTGCGTGATGGCAAGGCGTGCGCCTGCTACGACATTGCGCTGCTTGTGCTGCTGTGCGCGGTCGGCGTCGTCAGGGCCATCGACGCCCAGGCCTCGTTCACGTACGAGCCCGCCGGAGCGGCGGAGAAGGATGGCGTCGGCGCCGCACTGTGCGCGATGCGTCTCGTTGGGAGGAAGAGGTCATGAAAATAGATGAGAGACTGATATCCTTGGCCCACATAGGGCAATTTAGTCTTTTTTGATTGTTTCTCTCTTCATGTTGTTCGGAAATAATAAAATAATATCTTCGGTGTTTAATAGCTAATTATCACTCTTTTGCAATGTCCTATAGACAATTCACATCTTTGTGATGTCATATAACTAATTATACGTTTTTTAAGTGTCCTGTAGCAAATTTTACATAAATAAATTGATGATGAAATTTCCATAGTAAATAATAGTTATAGTGAAGCTTAGTTCGGGCTCAAAAATTTTTCTAGCTCCACCACTGAATCCAGACAGCGAAGAACACAGCGTTTCACGCCCAAATGCAGCTGCCGGACGACGAAGAACAAGAAGCCAGCAACGGCGAGGCAGCTGCCGCAGGGCATTCTAACCGCGTCCAATCTAGCCTAGGGTTTACAAAACCGAACGGTTATTATGAGGCTACCATGCACAGTAACCTTTTCAGTGGATTCTGGCATTAGGTGCAAAGTTTTAAGGCCTCCTTCAGTGGACATGAATTCCTTTTTCAAGGTTTGTAGAAATTAAATCGAATCGATCCTGATGAAAAAAAAGTTATACAAAATTCATGCAGTCAGAAGGAGGCCTAGCATTCCCTGCATTCTGCACAGAACTTCCGGAAACCCAGCATAGAAGCCACATGTGACACAGAATTTTGTACAGTGGGAGACTTACCCATAGTCTCACCCTTGGCAGGTGATCCATCACAGTTTTCTTTATGTTACACCATATGGAATGAGGGGATATACCCAACTTACATAGTGATATGCACACTGTAATAATATAATGGTAGAGAAATTTTCCCACGAACACTGACACCACCTGAAGGTCGTCATTTACAAGCAGGTGAAGGGTAAGGGAATAGAGAGAAAAATAATAAAAAGGATAAATAGCCAGAGAGATCCCAGAGATCTCTGTTATTAACTGTCAAGTATCTCAAACTCTGAATCCTCAATGACATCCCATGATTCCTTCTTGGATAGTGAAGCAGGTGGAGTTGGTTGTGGAGGCCGGTGGCTATAGTCAGTAGAAGATGCAGGTTTTCTTCTTACTGAATCCCGCCGGACTGAGGAGCTAGCATAGTGGAGGCTCCTCCGATCTGACAGAAGTGAATCCATGTATTTGTCCATGACAACAATATGGGCACTGTCAGCGTCGCTAAGCTCCTCACCGCTAATGTATCTTCTACCATCTCTAGAAGATTCCACATCCGAAGGTATTTCGGACCACTGATCCATGCTTTGCTCAGATTTTGACTTTGCAAACACCCATTGGTCAATGCTTTGATTGGATCTTGTTTTTATCAACACACGATCATCTGGCGATTGATAACCCTCTTGAGTGCTTTTCACACTTTCAATTTCACAAACATTAGGCGCAGAATCAGACTCTATCTCATTGACGTGATGAACAGAACCTGGTACATTCTCATCTACCTGCAAGTACAGGTGGTCACGATAAATAAGCAAAATAGTACCATATCTGCAAAACAAAGCTCAGCATATTGCTTTTGCGCTTAACACCCAAATCATAGTTACTATATCCAAATGGAGCACCTCACTGTAAGATGAGTAGAAAGCCTCCAGGGGATGCTTAAAACTAACACAATTACACAAGCTATATTTCATACAAGATAGTGAGATACAGATGTGTCCTGATGCCTACAACCAACCGGTGAAAGTGTGCATGATTTATTGATTTGTGCAGCTTAACACTAACATATTCGCAAGTCTGAGATATGTAGATTCTAAAGCGAATTCATACTCTAGTATTCCACCTAATTTCAATGATCATGTTTCAACAATAACACCCAAGAATTTTATAGAATCCAGCTCAATTATGTGCTGCTTGTCAATTGGAGATGATGCTCATTTATGTTAAGACCATGTGAAGAAAGCAGTAACACGAAGAAAAAAATGCATTCCCTGATTATATCCAAGTTTCTATCTGTTCCCATTGTATCTGAATTGACTACCAAGATTAGAAATCCAGAACTAAATTGAAATGACACTAATGTCTGGTCCACATCTCTGAGCTGTTGCCTGTTTACGGAAGAAATTGTCTCAGGCTCTCAGCATGCATCAACTATCCTGCTAGCATTGTATGGTTTCTCAATAATACCATGGTTCCCAAGTTTAAGTCCTAGACTCCTAGTATGATTGAGACAAGACCATTGGTGCAATGGTGTGTGTAACCATTGCGATTCAGACAAGACTATCCTGCTAGAAAATGTTCACTTTCTAATTCACGATGTGGTGCAATGGTGCAACCATTGTGATTCACACAAGATTATATAATATCGGAAACTCGGAATGCATACAACAAAAAATAAGTCACACCACAGGTACATAAAACAATATAAGAGGTAGCGTATACTTCTAAAAAAGCATAAATTACTAGACTTACCTCTGAAGTATGTTCAGTAAGGTTCGACTCAAGCAGCGTAAAGTAGATCTTCCAGAATACATCAATATCCATGTAAGAAGGGCAGAGCCTAGCTCTCAGAGATGCTAAGTCAGGTACAAGTTTTTCAATGGCTTCCATATGATCCCTTTGGATATCGGAGATTATAGAATCTGTGAATTGCAAAATCAGTAAATAAGTATGGCATTTAGACAGACTTATATCGCAGAGCTAAATAACAGCCACAAATGATTCTCCTAAGATGAGCTCAGTAAAACAACTCAAAGACATCCTGATTCCAAAAGCATAATTGAAATCTTCAAAAGTTACAGTATGGTTCTGTAAAACTTCAGTGATCCTAAGAAGTGAATGCAACAATGGCTAGAAACTGAACCAGCAAAAAGCACGGCACAAACAAGATATGTTTACCTCTCAGTATTTCCACACAAACATTTATTAAGTAATACCTGCTGCCTATATTTGGATTGTCCCTGTTATAGCTATTATCATTAAACCATTCATCAAATCCATAATGAAGCATCTAGTTTATTCTTTGCCTAGCTATGAATTTGAGCAACTCAAATAATTTCTTTTGCCTTGCCACACTCTGTACTTTCTAATAATGGCAATGAATGCTCTTCGATGAGTAGAGCAATTGATTTCTTTCAATTTGGCCCAATAATTCCCCACACCATAACTTTATACTAACCTCAGATAATCCTAGATGAATTCCTAAGAGAAGTACTTTTGCCTCATAATTTCACTAGAATCACAAGCATGAAATCCAATATATATCCCGAATCAGCAACTTTTTACACTCATCTCGACTTCCAACACATCTACCACGAAACCAGGGGTGCAATCAGTGCGTGATGGATGCATAATTAGCAACAAGCATAAGTATATAGATAATCGAGCATTACTCTCATCGAGCGCGAGCACGGGGAAGTCAATCCACGCCTCGGGCCGCGCCGCAAGGGCCTGCGCCGCCCCGACGACGTCATCAGCGACATCAGCAGCGGCAGCGGCAGCAGGGGAAGGGGAAGGAGAGGAGGCCGTGGAGGAAGCGGCGCGCGGGGACTCCGCGGTGGTGGCGGAAGCGGAGGCGGAGGCGGAGGAGAAGGCAGGTTCGGGGAGGGCGGCGCGGCGGGCGAAGCCACCGGTGAAGGAGCCGCCGATCTCGGCGAGGTCGGCGAGGATGCCGGCGAGGATGGAGGGGGAGGGCGGCGTGGCGGGGCGCGGGGAAGGGGAGCGGCGGTGGTGGTGGTGGCGGTGGGTGGGGGTGGCGGGCGGGGAGTCGACGGTGAGGTGGGCGGGGCCGAGGAGCGGGTGGAGGAAGCAGGCGATGTCGAGGATGTGGCGGCCTAGCTCGGTGAGGTCGTCCCGGACGCCGCGGAACCCCCGCGCCATCCCTCCGCCCTAGGGTTAGGGCTCCGGCGACGGCGGCGGCGGAAGAGGGACTCTGCGGCGGCGGCGGCGGCGGCGGAAGAGCGGGTTTTCCTCCTTTATTTGCTTGCGGGGTTGGGGTGGGGGTGGGGTGCGGGACAAGGCAATGATTGCGACTTGCCCAAAAAGAGAGAGAAACAAGTCGGACTCTCTATGGGACTCTCTATATCCATAATTTTAAAAAAAAATACTACTATAATATAATTATAATGTTATTATAAAGTTCTTATTAGTTTTAAAAATATAGCAATATGAGAGAGAATTAGAAGCACCGTGTATCTAGACAGGGAGTACATAATTTGTATGTAACCTTTCGCGAAGTGAAGTTCGGAGGACCAAATCCCCTTACGTGTTAGTTTTTTTTCTTCCCCGTTTGTATAAAACTTGAAGTAAATCTAACTGCTTAGAATTATATTAAAATTTATATATAAATTATACTTATATTTATATGAAAGTATAGTATTTGGATTTAAGGTCGTGTTTGTTCTTTGATGTTGGGAACCAATACCTCCCGCACGTAAATCGGAGCTACTCATTAACACATGATTAATTAAGTATTTGTTTTTTCTAAAAAATGGATTAATACGATTTTTAAAGCAACTTTTGTATAGAATTTTTTTTAAAAAAAACACAATGTTTAGTAGTTTGAAAAGCATGCGCAAAAAAAAGAAAGTTGGGGAAATAGCCTAAGGGCATGTTTAGTTCGCAAACGAAAATTTTTGGCGTACCACATCGGATATACAAACACACATTTGAAGTATTAAACGTAGACTAATAACAAAACAATTTATAGATTCCGTCTGGAAACTACGAGATGAATTTATTAAGCCTAATTAATCAGTCGTTAGTAAATGTTTACGGTAGTACCACATTATCAAATCATGGCGCAATTAGGTTTAAAAGATTTGTCTCACAATTTACACACAATATGTGTAATTACTTCCTTCGTTTCACAATGTAAGAATTTCTAGTATTGCCCACATTCATATAGATGCTAATGAATCTATATATATAATACATTCATATACAGATTCATTACTACCTCCGTCCCATAAAAATTGAATTTCTAGAGAATTAAGGACATATTATTCGGATAGGCAAATGACTAAAATATCCCTATTTAATGAACACAGTACATGCACACATTCCATATATAAACTTGATTAAAAGGAATGTCATGACAATGGGTTAGAAATAAGATGGAAGGAAAGAAGATTACAAGGAAATGCAATCAGTTTATTGGGTCCCACATTAGTAGAAATACAATTTTTATGGGACAAAGGTTTAAAGCTAGAAATTCATTTTTTATGGGACGGAGGTAGTAGTATCTATATAAATGTGAGCAATGCTAGAAAGTCTTACATTGTGAAACGGAGGAAGCAGTTTTTTTTCATATCTAATTACTTTATTTATATATGTGTTTAAACATTCGATATGACGGGGTGAAAAATTTTTTGTTTGGAAAATAAACAGAATTAATTTTATCGACGAAACCGTGGCGAGGCGTGGGTTGCTTTCGGTTTCGGGTGCGCCGTGGCGGTGCCCGCGCGCGCACAGCAAACGTGCCGGCCCGGGCGCCCGGCCGCTCTCGCCGCGAGGGGAAAGGCGCCACACGGCGGCGTGGCCGCGTATGTGACGGCATGATGATGACTACGGACTACGGTGGTGGAGGTGGTTGTGGGTGGCCGTGTCGCCGTCGAGGGGGGTGTCGCGTACGACGTCGACGGCGCACGTCGTCCACGTGGTGCAGAGACCGTCAATCGGCGGCTGACTCTGACCAGGAACAGGGTTTCAGGTACGGGGATGGATGCTGTCACGTTGGCACACCAAAGTCAGCGGCGTACACAAACTTTCTCGTGAACACGCTCACATATGTGTGGTACAAATGTTCACCAATGTGTAGTAGGTAATCCCTCCGTCCTATTTTAAGTGCAAATATAAGTTTCTGTATCCAACTTTGATCGCTCATTTTATTTGAAAAAAATTTATAATTAGTATTTTTGTTGTTATGAGATGATAAAATATGAATAGTACTTTATACGTGTCTTATGTTTTGAACTTTTTTTAAAAAAAATTTAAATAAAACAGATAATTAAAGTTGGAAACGTAAAATAATAGCGACACTGAAAATGGGACGGAGGGAGTACGATAATTATAGTTTATGTATAGTGTACTAGGTTCTGAACATGTTTTCTACTGCTAGCTGACCGCACGATCGTGTCGCTATCTTGTCACGGATCAGCTTTTGTTGTACAGGCTAGTACCAAAATTTGTACAAGATGGGAAGTGAGCTCCATTGGTTAGGAATTTTTGGTTGAACCAGTGAATCCATCTGCTTCAACCGTTGGAGTGCTAAACAGGCCCTAAGCTCGACACGAGTATTCGAGTATTTATATTTACAGTTAATTATTTTTTTAATAGTAGATGACGTATCCATCAATAGCTTTTCAGAAGGTGTTCATCAGTTGTATGTGCCGTGTGCGTTTGCATTTATGTTGTGTTTTGTCTTGGTCAATAGTGATGGTATTTGCCGAAGGAGATACTACTAGTATAACACGAATAGGTACTGCTAGTATTGTTACACTACAAATAATTGACACATCTTGATTATTATGTAATCGTACTCGATCAATGTCCATGAATAATCCAATAATTAATCTTATCCCGAATCACCCACCCACATGAAGAAATACCAAAAATACCCATACCCATATACATACATGCATACGTACATACATTACCCCAAGCACCTACGTGTGACGTGTCCGAATCGGACGAACACCACCGAATTCTTCTTCTTCTTCTACCTGTGTGTGCTACAAACCATCAACAATGAGAGAAAGCTACAAATTTTTCCAGCCAAAAAAGAATCGACATTGGAAGTAGTGCGACGACGACCGACATCGCCGGAGCTGGATGATGATCATCATATGAGCCCCGTGTAGCCGTTGCCGGCGGCGGCGGCGGCGCCGTAAGGGTGGTGGGCGGCTGCGGCGGCGGCGAACGGGTTGCCGAACGGGTTCGCCGGGTTGGCCTGGAGATGCTGCTGCTGCTGCTGGTGGTGGTGGAACACCTGAGGCGGGGGCGCCGCGGCGGCGGCGGCGGCGGCGGCCATCATCATCTGCTGCTGGAGCATGAAGGCCTGCTGCTGCTGCGCCATGGCGGTCATCTGCACGTTGTGCGGCGCCGCGTAGCCGCTGGAGGCGTAGAACGGGTCGTGCATCATCGGCTGCTGCATCATCGGGGCGGCGCCGGCGCCGGCGACGCCGGGGTTGACATCCCATGGGTTGTAGCTCGTCGGCTGGCTCGCTCTCCGGTTCGCGTCGTCGTACAGGCTGTCGAGCGTGAGCAAGTCCAGTCCACCAGCCTGAAGAAAAGATTTCAGAGTTTCAGAGATGGTTAGCTTTTGTTGTTGCTGCATCTGTCTGAAAATTTTGCTGCATTTCAAATTAAGAATGATGCTAGTGCTGCTTCATCTGTCTGAAAATTTTGTTGCATTTCAAGTTAAAAATGATGCTACTGTTGCTGCATTTATCTGAAATTTTGCTGCATTTCAAGGTAAGAATGATGCTACTGTTGCTTCATCTGTCTGAAAATTTGCTGCATTTCAAGGTAAGAATGATGCTACTGTTGCTGCATTTATCTGAAAATTCGCTGGCATTTCAAGCTAAGGATGATGCTAGTGTTGCCGCGTCTATCTGGAATTTCGCTACATGTCAAGGTAAAATGTTCAGGTTCAGTACCAGCTTCTTGCTTGAAGTAATAGCAGTTTCGTTTGAGCTGGGTGTGGTGACAAGGGCCAGCTCCCAGCCAGTGACTCCATTTTGAGCAGGTGCAACTTTAGGTACATCATCTGCCACAGAAAAGCAAGAACAGTAAAGAAGCATGTCTTACAACCGATCAACTTCTAGTGGAGACAAAAGAATTGAACGGTTTTCGTTCGTGGGGAATTTTACCTATCGGAACAATGGCAAGGGCTAAAGCATTCTTCTCCTCTATCTCGGCTGCGGCAGGGTTCGGTTCGTTCAGACCCTGGCAGAGAAATTGAGTTATTAGCATGACAATGCAGGATTAGTGGCCTCTTGTGAGTAGTACAGAATGTTACCAGCAAATCTGTTGGCTCCTCTTTAGGTGCTTCCTCTTTTACTGGTTCAGGCTCTGGCTCTGGTTCTTGTTCTGGTTCTGGCTCTGGAGCGGGAGGAGGCGATGCCGGCTTTTCTTCCTCCTCTGCCTCTTTCTTGTATTCGATTGCCAGTACCTAAACACAGATAAGATGTGTGATAAGCAAACTCAATAAGGAGCCTGAAGAGCAGAAAATCATGCATAAGATGGTTCTAACTAGATTCATTGTCTTCTCGATTTATAATGTACTGATACAATCAATCAACACATTAATTTGAGCTCTAAACATCAGCAAGTTTCAACATTTCTCGAACCTTATCTTTTTGAGCTACAGTGGGAGCTTCTGTCACATATTCCTCCATGGTTACTAAGAATGAAGCTGGAGGCTGCAGAAGTTTCAGTATAATCAGTAGCTTGCTAAAATGGAAAACAAACAACAAATACATGCAAATCGAATATCTGTCAGACCTGTTCGATTTTTAAGAACTTCTCACCACGCCCAATGTGTATCGTTTTACACACTTCATAAAACTCTGATAGTCTTTCAGCCTGTGCAACAAATTTAAGAAATTAAAAGGTGAAGCAGCAACAGTGCCCTAAATGTTCTTATTTCAACATAATTCAACGATTAATATCAGTGGTTCAGAACTTCTGTTTTAGACAGATCAACATCAACAGAGCTGATGATGCTGAAGTGAAAAAAAAACCTTGTGCTCTAAGTTTAATTTCATATTCCATCACAGATATGATACCTAAATTTTAATTAGAGACAAGGTTGCTTAAAAGTGCACATAGCTAATCCTCGATCAAAGGAGAGACCATGGAGGAAAGCAAGATGCTCAGATGGATTGTTATCTGCCTCTGTCCTACTGTTTTTTATCACTTTGTCATGAATCAAACATTGAAGGGGGGAAAAACTGGTCAGGGATAATAAAACAACATAATAGTGTAAATAGATTTGATCTATTCACAGCAATTAAGTGAATTATCTCATACATTCTTCAATCGATCAGCTTCTAAGTTTCTGAAGCCCTAACACATACCCAAGTCCTTAATTAATTAAACTTAAGAAAGAACCTTGATTTTTATTGCTACATGCAAGTGAAAATAATCCACTGAACAAATTCATTAATGGATCAACAGTAGAGGGACAGAACTTCACCTGGTTAGTTGCTCTTTTGTATATATCAAGTGCCCTAACAGCATCACTTCTTTGCATCTCAAAGAACTGTAATAGAGAATAATCCGTAGGTTAGATGAGAAAAGTAAAGAAATATCGCTAGCGAATAGCAGATTTTACAAACTTATCTGGAATGACTAGAATAACTAATAAGAAAACTCACCTTGTCAACCAGATTAATTGTACCATCACTAATAGCAGTGTAGATCTTAACACTTTCCAGAGCAACCTTCCAGTAATGCACAAGCAAAGTCAGCATTCATGCCAAGACCATCATGTTGTGCACTTAAAATGAAACAAGCATGCTAACTCATGCTACTTACCATTGAAAGTGCGTGCTGGATTATGACATTGTAAGATGATGCCCCTTGTGGCTACAAAAATAATATTCAGTAATTCAAATTTAACCTGACAGTGGAACATGAAGATGGAATGTGGTGAAATTTCAAATCATATGTAGGCAAAAACTAATTACCTGGCAAGCAAGGAGCCGAAAAAGAAGTTGCTGTAATGCTGGCAGATGATCAAGCAAATCACCAGTTTCAAGATCCCGAGTTTTCTGCAGAGACCAGAATTTTCAGAAAGTTAGAAAGAATACCGTTGGCAACATGGCACTTGTAATCTCATCTCTCATGATAAAGTTTCAATTACATAAATCAATGTTCCATGTCCCTATGCGGTGGCATGCCTGTCAACTCTTCTGGAAGATATCTGGATATTCTCTAGCAATAGGTAACCTTCTGTAGTTCGGAAACTTCCATGTGGTGCACTAGGGCTCCTTTCCAAGGGGGATTAACTATGGTTTTGAAATTCACTTTCTCTCCTTTAGAGTTTTCTAAGGTGATAGATCTACTTCCACAATCTACTTCCTCAGAGTCTTCCAGGAGAAAAGGAGGAAACCTTAAAATTGGAACTTACAAGGTAGTTATGAAGTTTAAACACAGTTTCCTTCCAGCAAAATTACATTTAAGTTTTAAAGAAATAAAAATTTGATAAAACCTCGCATAAGCAAGAGTAGTAATTGGATTACATACCGGAGGATCTGTCTCCACATCATACTTCAGCACTCGGAAACATTCAAGTCTCTCTTCTAAATATAAAGCATAAGTGCGTATCCAAGCAGAAAAATCCCAAGCTGAACAAGATAAGAGTAAATAGTCATTATAGTTCAGAGTTAGAATGTCTAATACAGCTATAAAAGTGACAACACTAGTAATAAAATGTCAATTAGTACCTCCTGCACTAGAATCATCCTTAAAGTAGGCCAAGTTTAGCATATGGGACCTAGATCTGCCATAATTGATAAGCTCTTCACGAAAAGTGGGATCGACCTCTCGAAGGGCGCGATGTATGACAATTAATGTCTTCAATGCAACCTGAGGTATAAATATTGAAGCAAAGAATATTCATAAGTTTATAACTTTTTTTACAGTGCATCACCCAGGAAAAGCACTATCAATAAAACAAAACAAATAATGTTAAATGCAAACTAATCCTTCTAATCACATAGCAGTTTGGCAATCCTTCAAAAAGTTCAAAAACCATCAATTCCACCATGCATTTAAACAAAAAACCATTTTGTAACTACTCTAAAGAAAAAGGACTAAACTCGTAGACCCATCTGTTTTACAAAGAAAATGGAGACAGTAACAAAGGAAGCTAATGCCAACAAATATTTTCATAGTTTCCCAAAGTCCATTTTAACATAGCTCCATAAACTACAGAGAAATGCAAAATTTTAAAATGTTACAAAAAGGCTCCTTAGACAGAACGAGAAGATACTTGGTGTAAAATGGTTCCTTGGACAGAAAGAAGCACTACTACATTCTAGTTAGAACACTAAAGTCTTATAGAAAAGGTACATACCGCCCAATTGCGTGTCTTGGAAAGACGTCTTGCAAGGGCATGGATGCAGTAAGCTACATCTGCTCGTGGCCTTGAAGCAGAAATGGAATAAAAAATTTCTGCAAACCAATAAACAAATGAATATGAGGCAAGTTTTGACAGTCTGAAGGTAAATTAGTGCACAATCAATATAATACTCCATTTCATTCAACAAAAACTACATAACAAAAAATCACTGAATTTTAAGCAGGAGCAGGACAATTCATTGTTTTCTACACTATATATTCAATTATATATAACAATGAAAATTAAAAAAGATTAACACAAGTGAAAAGATGCAGCTATGAACTGGCACTAGTGTTTCAAGCTTTCAGCTAAGAGACAGGATATGCCACCTCTTATGTACTTCTCCTTTGATGGACGCTCAACATGGTTTGTAGCCTTCACAATTGCAATATCCAATTCCTGTTTTGAAAAAAGACAATGCTAAGCCCGCGGCGGAGTAAAGCATATAACAGTAAGCAATTGAGCATGAGAATTTCCAAACATTCTTCAGAGGATTGATAGAATTTTCGACCTTATAATCACTGTTCACTTTTGCCAAGCTCACAGTTGTGGTGTCCTTGAGGGCTCCAAGATACTTCCTGAGGCTCGTCGGCTGAGTGCCAACTCCTGCCATCCTCCTTAACTCACAGATGATATACTACTTGACCTGAATATGCAGCAAAGAACCAAACATACTACAAATGAGATTATCTGCTCTAAATAAATCTTGATCCATCCAAATAAATCTACACTTCAAATTCATCAACCAGAAATAACAAACAGCAACGAAACAGTTGGATCACAAACTGTTTAGGATATAACAATGGATCCAGATGGCATCAGCTAAAGGAATTGGATCCAAATGAGCTGTATACAGAAGTGATTAAACAGGCAACGTACAGCGCCGAAATCTCTGTACGGATAAACTTTCAAAATGTACTGAACGCCAGCTCAGATCAAATTGAGCTAAAATGATTAGGCAACAGATGCTCCATCAATCACATCAATGTCCAGCAAGGCAGACACTACTCACCTACAGAGCAAATTCACAAGGACATCCACATAGAGAAAAAAAGTAGAGCTGTTGTGATTGCAGAAAGGTTACTGGAGAAAACAAACAAAAAAAGAAATGGATCGACAGAAACATGAATGGCATCTCTCAATGGGATTGGCCAAGGGAAGAATCGCGTCCGAATTCTCCGGCAAAGCACCTAAAAGCTGAATATTATTCGAGAAAAAAAAAGAAGAAAAATTCCAAGCTTTAAATCCAAGCAATGGACAATTCAAACGTCAGAATAGAACTTTGTCAAAAATACCAGGACAGCAGCAAACACGAGTTTTGGGGATTGAAGCGGGCAAGAATGCAAGAGTTCACCTGCTTATATTCTCACAAGATCCTAATTTGATCCCAAAACTCACCAATTTTCCCCCAAAAAAAAGATTGGATCCAATTTCGCAGCCACAAATCAGAGACTACAAGCCCAGCAGCAACCGTCAGAACGGCAAGAACACCACTATTAATAACATCCAAAATTTCAAATTCAACTCGGGAAAACAAACTAACAAACGAACAAACGAACAAACAGACAAACAAACAATATATTAACATTCACTTTCACGACACCCCATGTACCCAAAAAAAAAAGTAACTTTCAACAGAGCTCGAGCCGCCAAAATCACCAAAAGCAAACGTTCTTGCCACTACCCAACAACCCAAACAAAAATCAATCCGCCTACAACGCTAGCCCTCTCTCCCAATCCAAACGAGCTCGGATTAAGACGAACAAGAACAAGAAGAGCAAGCAGGTATCAGCACCCACCTCTGATTCAGAGCAGCAAGAATCTTCCCCGGCCCCAAGAACAAGCAGGAGAGCTCGGGAAGAGCTCGGAAAGGGAGAGCCTTTCCGCAGCGGAGGCGATAGGAAGGCGATGTAGAACTAGACGAGACGAGGAAGAAGAGGAAGAGGAGGAGAAGAGGAGGAGGAGAGGTCGCTCTCGCAGCTCGGCCAACCCGGACGCGAACCACCACCCGGTGGCCGGACAGGGACGCGATACCCAATTAAACAAAGCCGCCACACTTCACTGCTCGCACAGCACAGCAAAGCACGGCGCTGGCTGGATGCACAGCCCAGAGACGGATTAGCGTACAAGATTAGCGCAGGATTAGTTTAAACTTAGGGTCTTTTTGTTACGGCTTCAAGTTTGGCCAAACAGTTTCAGCGATCTGAAGCTAAGTAGAGTGTTCTCGTAAAATAAATTAGAGAGGTGAAGTTGAATTTTTGGCTGCTTCATAACTGCATTCTAAATCCAACTTCTAGAGTTAAATTTACGAGTTAGAGCTCTACCAAACGGACCCTTAATACTATACCTAACTTGTAGCTTCTAAAAATTGACACATCATCTAGTGTCATTTTAATTTATTATACTTATACTATAGCTGAATATAAATCTATAGTACGATTTTCTCTCTCCTTTCTCCTATCTTCTTCGCATGTGGTTGTAGCTAAACTATAGTTTGCTATTTTCCTTGCTCCGATTAGTTAATTAAGTAGTACTATCAGAGAGTCCGGGGTCAATTATTAGCGCGCCTTAGCTTCGCTTTTCAGTTGTCTAATTGCCCTGATTAATTTTGCTCCTCCACCTCTTTGCACCGCCCTCTTATTTTATTGGCTCGTCCTGCTGCTATCGTCGGTGGAGATAAATATTCGCTTAAATGAATTGAATTTTTTAGATACTTATCAAAGAACGAAATAAAGAATGTGCTGCTAATTTTTTTTTTCATTTGCTTAATTGTTTTTCTCCAAACTCTGAATGTATAGTCAATAAAACACTTGAAACTCTGAATAAGTTTTTTTTTCAAAGAAAATGTTCCTCGGAAATGATTAGTCAAACACTGTAAACTCTGAAGAAAATCTTGCCAACAATTTACACAAATTATTGTGATGGGAAACTCTGAATGTTAATCAAACACTCTGAAGTCTGAACTCTGAAGAGAGATGTATTGATTTTCAGGGAAGTGCTCCGTATGCTTCAAACACCGTAAACTCCGAAGAAAATGTTGCCGGAAATATTACCACGTCATCACAATTTACACAACTATTGTGATACGAATCTACCAAAAAAAAATAAAAGTAGCCAAGATCACGGACACCTAAAAGAAATCAACATCATCCAACAGAAAAAGGAAGTTTATCGTGTGTCTGAAACACTGCCATTCTGTCAAGCTGGTAACCAGGTGTTTACCAAAACGGATAGGTCATTATCTGATTAATTAACTGACACCCATGGAAAGAGGAAGCCGTGACGCACGAGAGAGACAACGAATACGGAAGCGGCAGGAGGAAGAGGAGATTAGATTAGATTAGATTAGATTAGCAGGTGGGTTAGTTGTTAATTACCCATGGTTACCCGGAGATTAGCTGCTTAATTTATTGGTTTAATCCGGCCATGGCCATGGGTTGCTCAAACACTTATATACTGCTTCTTTATTAGTAGACCACCGTAGCCGTCAGTTGGAGAGAGTGGAATAATGATTGTGGTTGCTGAGTAGGATTGGCTTGTCTCTACTTTCTTTTTTTTTTCTTCTCTCTCTTCTTTTCCTTCCCAGTTCCCAATTCCATGCCTTTTTTGCAGACGAGTGCTCCACGTTTCACCATTTGGGAGAATGCAAGTGTTTGGACTTCTTTCCTTGTCAAAATTTGCAGATAAGTCCTTTTAATTTAGGATATACAAAGTGGATGGATGAAAAAATGGTTGTAATATTTGTGTAAGAGTTATGGATTTCCTTTTGGCATAAATAGTATTCGACTCACAAAATATCTCAAATGTGTATATTCTTTTTTTTAACAATGAGCTTAGTATCTATTGAATCGATGAAGCGCATGCATTAAAATAGACCCTACATTCCGCGATCATTTGCTTGATGTGTGAACACCAACAAAATTATTGAAATTTGCGTAGAAAGAAAAGACATATCTTGTAGAGGAGTTATGCGACGAAGTAGACATTGTATAATCGTTGATGGTTGGTGGTTCTTGTTAAGAGGGACTTTTTAACTTGGCTAGGAAGGAAGGGATACATTTTTTGCTAACTCTCTTTTGCACTTCATCATGCATCTGGTGCTTTTAAAGTAGTGACAATGACATTTCTCTCCACCACCCAGTTAACACTTTAAAAGAATTAATACTTCAATCATTCCACATCAACTTCATTCTCACACTACTTTTCTATCGAAATCATTTTCCTAGTTCTTGTTTTTTTTGTCCGCACATTTTCATCTTCCTGTTACACCATTTAACTAGTTCCTATTCTCAGATCACATTCCCATTGAAACATGGAGTGATTGCACGTATCCGCACTCCATGTACACATTTTAATAAGAAAACAGACGATTTGGAAGGGCTAAATCCAACGGTTGAACCTACTGAAACAACCATGCTCTCATCCTGAAAATGAAACAGAAAATTCAGGGTCTAGAATGCAAAAATCCCCATCTTTACCTAACTCCAATTGTCTCCTCTCTCTCCTGCCCATAATTTGCATGTGAGTTGGCAAGATGATTAACTGAATAAACAAACCAATGTCAAGAAAACGAGATGGGATCAGTGTATGGTTGATTGAGTACAATGTGGGGGAGGAAGCTGCAGAGAAAGAAAAACAACAACAAATGAAAGTGACACAAAAGTCAGAATTGGGTAAAGCATCTTCTGTGCATGCAATAGACAAGCACCAGCACAGGGCCATTGAGCAGCAGGGTGCAGTGCTGTTTACCGACATTCTCTGATGAACTTGTCCCTGCTTGCATGCTAGTATTGCTATGCTAGCTCTGAATTTACACTTTTGCACAATGATTCTTGTTCCAACTTTCTCATCTCCCCTAATCATTCTTAATAGTCTGTAAGTACTAGTACTATTCCACCTGTGAGTGAGTAAAGGTGATGATCTGATCTGCATGTGTTATCATCATCAACCATGTCTGAAGCATAAAGATTGTAGTTACAGTAGTAGTAGACTAGTAGTAGATAGAATGCCCCGTCACTTTATTCAGATAGCAAGTTTTAATCTTTTGTCGAGCCTAGTAAAAAGTCTGAAGCTTTTTACCTCTGAATATAATGATGGTGATCAATGCTAGATCATGCTAATGTAGCACAAGAAGGATGGAATACTGTGGATGCAGTCATCATCTATCCACTCTGAAGAGTCAGATTGTTGAATCTACATTAATCCCAGTCAAATTAATGCAGCACCATTCATTTGATTTCCACATCCTTGTCCCATTTTCAGGATATGCATGTAGCCTATCCCAGTCATCCATCTCTGGTCAATTGGTCTAGAAGAAGTGAAGAACACCCTGATTATGACTGCTTGGCTGGTTCTGGAGAAGCCTGACGAATGCCATTGGATTCCGATGACTTGTTCAGAATCTAGAATGGAATGTTTAGGCAATGGTCGTTATTTCTAAGCAATAAAGCAATTGGCAATCAAGTGTACAGCCCTGAAACGAAACACTGTCTGCGAGCTGTCCTGCACATTCTTCAGTTCTGAACTTTCCTTCAGAAAAGAAAATGGTCTTCAGTTCTGAACACTTGTCTCTGTTGGTAAATTGGTTAGTTGCTCCTGAAGCCTTTACTAACCTGAAGACTCTTGTAATTAACTTGTAACTTGGAGTATTTCGATGGTGCTTTACTGCAAACCTGAAGCTTTAGGATAATTTAACCCGACCTAAACTGTTCTTGTTAAATCGCCAGAACTGCAGCTGCATGGCAGCTAGGGCAGGCTCCTAAAATCCTTCGAGGCATCACGCGTGGATATCTGTGTAGGATCGAATCACAAGAACCAAGCCAATCAAAGGGGGGTGAATGGTTGGTATACCTAAAAACCGAAAACTTTTAGCGGAAATAAAAGTTACCCTCAATTTCGATGAGATCGGTTTGACCGACGTAGATTAGCCGGTCTGACCGAAGCGTAGCCGCCGGTCTGACTGGTGTTGATCTACCGGTCTAACCGTCGAGATCGCCTGCCGCTTGCTGTCGTCGCCGCCGGTCTGACTGCCGTGCTCCCGCCGGTCTGACCGCCGCTTGCCGCCGGTCTGACCGCCGGTAGATCACCGGTTAGACCGCCGAAACCCGGTAAACACAAATCGAAGAACTCTTAAAGTGGATGACGACTTTATTGATTCTCTCTGTGTTTACAAAGTGCACCAACAGCACTCCTTACAAAAATTTCGACTAAACTCGAAACCCTAACTTAAAACTCAACTCTATTGCTCTCTAAAGCGATACAGGGAAGCCTCACGCTCCCCCTCTATTTATACATGAGGTAGGCAGCCTAAAGCCACGAACCAAACTCATACTAGGAGTCCTAAACACCTTAGGAAACCCACTAGTACAAGAAATAAACTTTACATAACCAATCGTACCAAATTTGGACTCATTCCAAATTTAACTCCGCATCCCATACGCACACAATAATTCCATCGTATGCCATATGGAATCTCCATCAATCACGTGCATCAACTCTTGCCTAAGTATCCCGCATGATCTTTGACCACCACGGACGTCGTCTTATCCCCAAGCCGACTCCCGGTCCATCACCGCAAATACTCTCCCGAGACATCGAGTCACCTACACATGGAATAAACAAAGAAACCATATTCCGAGACCAAGCTATCTCCAACTTGACTCATTAGTAGCAAACAATAGTATTACATACGTATAGTATCCATCTAGAAGTCATAATCATGAAATAAACTCGGATATCCAAATAAACAACCCGAAACCGAAACCGACACAGTGTCGGCCGGTTAGACCGCGGGCTGGCCGGTCCGACCGCTCGATCACCGCCGGTCTGACCGGCTACCAGAGCCCGGTCTGACCGGTCACATAAAATGATAGAATCCTACGATCACCTGTAAATCTAATCATCTCCAAAACCACTTCGTGAATAAACTCCAAATAACAAACCAATAATCTCCAATGCCCAATTGTTCATCACAGAATAATAATCAAAAACACCTTTGATTTTACAATCTCCCCCTTAAT